GCCCCGCCCCTAGCCGCCGCGCGCTCAGCTGCCCCCGCCCCTAGGCTCCGCGCGCTCGGCCGCCCCGCCCCTAGCCGCCGCGCGCTCAGCCGCCCCGCCCCCGGCCGCCCCGCCCCTAGCCGCCGCGCGCTCAGCTGCCCCCGCCCCTAGGCTCCGCGCGCTCAGCCGCCCCGCCCCTAGCCGCCGCGCAGTGGGCTCGCGGCCGCGCGCAACAGGCCGTGCGGGGTGAGTGAGGCGCTCTCGCGGGCAGCGCGGCGCGGAGACAGGCCGGGTGGTGCGGGATTCCGCGGGGCGCGCGCCGCTGCTTTAGGCACCAGGGCCCGGGTGCGGGTCTGGGGGACCTGCGGGGCCGGCTGGAAGCCTCGGAGGCGGGCGTCGCGGTTGCGGGCCGCGGACGCGCGCCCAGGCGCCCCACCTCCCCGGAGACCTGGGCGGGGTGGGTGCGGCCGGGTAGGAGTAGGGTCGCGGAAGCCTTGGGCACAGAGAGGGCACGGGTGCTGTGCTAATGGTCCCGAGGCCGGTGACGAGCGCGCGCAGTCTGGAGGCTCTACACGGAGGGTGCTGCCGGCCTCCGCCGGGTGGCGGCAGAACCGCCTGTGCGAGCGCTGCTTCCACGTGGGCCGCGCCGCCGGGCGTGAGGTCGGGCCTGACAGACACCCTTTACCGCTGGGAAACCTGAAGTTCAGGTGTGTGGAGAAGAGGAAGCTGCATTACGGCCTACGCTTCCAACTCATTTACCAGCAAATAATTCCACAATGATTGGCCGACAGCTGGGTTGTCCAACAGGTTACTGAGACCACGTTATTCACTGTTTTCAGGACAGATAGAGGAAGAGGATCGGATCTCACCACTCATTGGCTGTAAATTTGGTGCCTGGGTTTCATTTCACGGGGCTCATCTTTGAGCGGAGGAACCTGATTTCCCCAGCTTCTTCCGCTGGTACTGGTTTTTCCTCCTGGACATCAAGCTTTGTAACCTCATGATCACCAAAATACATTGAGGTGCAGTCCGTTTCCTCTGTAAAATAAAACTAAAAAGATAACAGCTGATCACCCCTTTATGTCAATAGGAGAACCAGCTTTCCCTCTCTGGATTAGTGTATCTCTGAGCCAAAAAGAAATGTTTTAGGTCAGCCTAGGCAACCTTGTTCCAAGCAGTATATAATTCCTGACAGCCGTGTGTGTTTAACTGAGCTGCATTTGACTCCTGTCCTCCATTAGTGGGCCTGTAATTCATCTAGAGAGCGTATTATGTTAATGCAGCTTTCTGGGCCCCAGCCATCAGAAGTGGCAATCCAGTGGGCTTGATAAGGGACCCAGAAATTTGCATGCGGGCAACCTTGCTAGTAACTGTAAACTACATTCTGTAAAACACTGCCCAGGGGATGTAGACGCTCATACTTCCCTCCCTGCTTTAGTAATAACTACTGATGTCTAAAGTGCCTTTTAGCTCTTTCGATACTGTTGAATCCTGAAGTGACAGCTGCCATCAGAAAAGTAATCCCCACCGCACAAGCCATCTGTTTTCTCCGTAACTGTTTTGTGTAAGGCCTTTGTGATTTGTCTCCAAAATTGTATGCAGACAAAAGATGCAAACGTGAAAAATTCAGCACATATTTCTTGAGGCCCTCCTACGTACCACACCTTGCTTGGTTCCGGGGATATACAAATCCCTTCAAGAGCTTCCTTATGTCGTCATGTCCTCAAATATAGAAGAGGAGCTTAGGACACCTTACAAATATAGTGACTATCTGTTGCCTGTAGTATGGTTGTCAACACTGATTTTTCTTATAGTGTTTATCTGTGGGTAGTCACCAAAGTATGAACCACAAATCTTTTAATCTTTTTACATTTTAATGCTTATAGTCAACTCAAATGGAAAACAGTTGCTTTTCAAAAACTTGTCTGTGACTTTATGGAAATATTTACTCTTGTTGGGGTGGTCTCTGAGGTTTATGGGCAAGCTTGTGATGGCTCTACTATTCCAGACAAATCATTGTCTTCTTTAAGTAATATATTATTGGATTCTAAGATAAGTGATTTACTTTTTGCTGTTTCCGAAATTGTGATATGTACTTTAAGACTTTTATATGTTTAATATGATAGGATGCTTCATCTGTTCTCCCCTCTGCTCTAGAAAGCTGTTAAAAGCAATGGTTGTCTTACAGTGTGAGTGGTGTGAGAATCAGAGAAATCGTGTGTTTGCCCAGAAACCTCTAAGCTGGGCTCCAATTAACTGAGCCTCAAATCATTTCAACATGAACATAGAGAAATAAATGATGTAACTTTTGGCAGTATGGGTAGTGAAATTTATATTCTAACGAAAGCAATTGTTATGCAGTACTGAAGTTTATTTTGTTAGTGATCGTAGATGGGAAAGATTCTTTAACTGATTTTATTTTGGCTTAAGTGCTTTGCATTCTTTGTTTAGCCACGTTTTCTAGTGAATGTGCTTATACGGCATTCATATATTATGCTTAAAACAAGCTTTTGGTTTTCATCTTCCTGCTGCTTAAATTTTAAACTGACCAATTGTGAGAGATAAATGTTTGGATGAATGTAAAATTACTCTATAGGGCGCCGTTAGTAATACAAACCTAATAAACCAATCTAAGTTTTTAAAAATTAAACGTGAGCAATGTGTTGTGGTCCCCAAGACCATCCTTAGTTCAGCAATTTGCTAGGAGGACTCTGCTGATTTATTGCAGGGAAAGGACACCAGGCACAGTCAGCAAGGGGAGAGGCGCACGGGTGAAGCTCTGGGGAGACCAAGTGTAAGGCTCCAAGTCTTCCAGCGGTCGCACCGGCTATGCTCAGTTGCTCCAGCCACTAGTTGTGTTGACCCTTGTGAAATGTTGCCAACCAGGAAAACTTGTTAGAGGCTCAGTGCCCAGGGCTTTTACTGGGGGCTGGTCACTTAGGCCACCTTTGCCTGTCGCATTCCGGCGTTTCCAGACTCTAGAAGGAAAGCAGGTATCGGTATAAACTGTAATGATTGTACATTTTAGGTGATGAGCCACTCCTATCAGTTAACGGTGGTGGGAACTCCCAAGATCTTAAGTTCTCAGACGTCCGCCACCAGCTGCACTTTCAAAGGATAGCATTGAGGCCTCTGTGGGACCTCCTCTGCATACGCAGTACTCCCTCCCGAATCCGTTTGTATTTCTACAGATAGGAAACATCACTTCAGAGTTCCATGTACTAGCAATGCTGTATCTCCATGAAGGCTTAATTCTTTCATGGAGAATTCAAGCTGGTCTGCTTCACTTAAAGGAAAAATTTTCAGAAAATGTGTCTTAACAAAGCACCTATCCTAAACACTAAAGTTTATTTTTTTTTTTCCAAGTGTAAAGGTTTACCCCTCCTGTAGGATTTTAGTATCAATTTGTATTAGTTTTCCACCCTGTCCTGTGTTTCCTTATCAAAAGCACTTGGTCTTTCGAAGGAACTGAACTGTTTTAGAGAGTTTGATATTTTGACATTTCCTTTCTTTGTTTAGTTTACATCTGGGTTTCATTCTAAAGTTCTTTTATATGTTGTAACACATCACACAGTATGTAACACGTGGTTCAGGAAGCTTACTTCCCAGGCCAGAACATTGATTCCACTTAGTCTACAGCGTAGCCGAAATACCGCTTAGTTAAAATGACCAAAGAGCAGAAAACAGTATTTTTGCAATTCTAATAACTCACCAAGGTAGGAAACTATACCACTTATAAATAAGAAGCCTTTGAGAAATTTTGGTTTTTATAAGTACAATACTTCTTAACCTTTTCCGGGGGTAAGGACTCCTTTAAGAATCTGTTGAAAGCAATGGAGACCCTTCCCAGGGGGAAATGACTGAGATGGAGTTTTGCAGTCTCGGGAAATTTAAATAATTTGAATTACAGTTCTTGGAAACAGATGAGGGAGACCTGCTTTATAAGGATCAATAGTTGTGGTTTGAAGGCAGTTCTGAGGGAGCTTTGCAAGGCTTGGCCATGTGACTTCTGCCACTCAGCAGTGTCAGCAGCAGAAGCATCACCTGGGAGCATGTTAGAAATGCAGAATCTCGACGGGGCGCAGTGGCTCACGCCTGTAGTCCCAGCACTTTGGGAGGCTGAGGTGGGTGGATCACAGGTCAGGAGATCAAGACCATCCTGACCAACACGGTGAAACCCCATCTCTACTAAAAATACAAAAAAATTAACTGGGCATGGTGGCGCGCACCTGTAGTCCCAGCTACTCTGGAGGCTGAGGCAGAAGAATTGCTTGAACCTAGGAGGCAGAGATTACAGTGAGCTGAGATCATGCCACTACACTACAGCCTGAGTGACAGTGTGAGACTCTGTCTCTCAGCTCTGCCTTGAAGCTAGGGAATCATAACCTGAATCATAATCATTGAGATGCTCAGGTGTTCTGTGTGCATCTTAAAGAAGTGCTATGTTAGAGGTTAATGATATTGGTATTATTTAATGTCTTATTTCAGTTAAAAATTTAGTTTTTTCAAGATTTTAGATATAACTACTTTTAGCCTTCGCTTTTCAGCCTTTAGGGTTTTTGTTTGTTTCTTTAAATGAAGGGAAGTTTCTGATAAAAGTGGCAGTTTTCAGGAATAAGCTCAGAGCTGGAAGTGAGGAGGTTCAGGTGGTTAGTAAAGAAGCAGAAGGCAGTGGCCTGCTGCAGCCACCTGGTGACACCACAGGTCCAGGGCTCGTTGATTGACCTGCGCAACAAGTGGGGTGGTGCTGTGGGGAGGAGCACCTGGCAGTGGGCGGCTGTTAGTTGTTCTCCAGTCAATTGTTTTTAACTCAGAGTACATCTAATTAGATGTGGGCCCTGATGCTGATGGGGGCCAAATCCAAGATATTTGACTTTGCTGTGTCAATGGCCATAGGCTAAACTTATGACTAGGAACTGCTGAGTCAGCTGAGTAGTTTTGTCTAAGATAATTATCCTGCCTAATAAATAATGAATACCATGACTTAGTGCTTGTGTAAAAGGAAAACACGTTTTTCTTTAGATGAATATGTCATCTGAGTGGTAGTTGAGGCTGAATCATATCCTAGAAGAAATGGCATTGGCTTAAGGCTGTCTCCTATCCTGGGGGAAGTAGCTTTGACCTATGAAGAGTTCTCATGGGGTGTCATGGTCATTCAGCTGTGTGTGTGGGGGATCCACTAACACCAATGCTAGCACGCTTTGTAAACCTAACGATGTGTGTTTTGTTCTTTTGATAGCTTTGCATTTCCTTACTGCTTTATCTTGAAGACAGAATGATGCCAAAGAAAGCAAAGGCTGCCGGGAGTAGGAAGGAAGAGGGGCCAGTTCCCTGTAAACAGATGAAAGTAGAAGCAGCTGGGGGGCCTTCAGCTTTAAACTTTGAGAGCCCCAGTAGTCTCTTTGAAAGTTTAATCTCACCCATCAACACAGAGACTTTTTTCAAGGAATTCTGGGAGCAGAAGCCCCTTCTCATTCGGCGAGATGACCCTGCACTGGCCACATACTATGGGTCCCTGTTCAAGCTAACAGATCTGAAGAGTCTGTGCAGCCAGGGGATGTACTATGGAAGAGACGTGAATGTCTGCCGGTGTGTCAGTGGGAAGAAGAAGGTTTTAAATAAAGATGGCAAAGCACACTTTCTTCAGCTGAGAAAAGATTTTGATCAGAAAAGGGCAACGATTCAGTTTCACCAGCCTCAGAGATTTAAGGTAACCAGTTTCCCCATTGCAGACTCCTCATACAATTTAAAGTACTAGCATTTGGCCACAGATCAACTCAAGGGTGAATATTTAGTTTGATGTTGGTTAGGCTCCTGCCAGTTTGAGAAGGAGTAGCACCTCTTTGATCTAAATGCATTCTAACTAGGGTTAAGATTATGCGTTATGTTTTGGTTAAACTGTTAGAAACTGCAACAACTCAGGGTAGACATTCTTGGCTATCATCGAGCTGTAAAAATTATATTGCAAGTTTCTAAAGTTATTAAAGTGGCATTACAACTGCAGAATTATGTTCTGTGAGCCAGTTTATGTTTTTCCATATGATGGACATTTCTATTTGGTTTGTCACATCACTATAATTTAAGGCATGATAGCATCAAGGTGACCATTTTTCCCAAAGTCGCTTCCCTTTACTGCCTACATCTCAATAGAGCCTTCAGAGCCATGACCAGATCATGGACTAGATGCAAGTTCAATAAAGAGACTTCACCCTTAATTGCACCCAAATGGATGGCTTAAAGGTACAGGGTGCTGGAACTGTTCCTGGTAAGGCTTCGTTGATGGAGGAAATCTTGGCTTTGTGAATGCAGAGGACTGACAAATATTTAGTTTTTTTTTTTTTCTATATCAGGGATTGACATTTGGGAAATAATTTGCCTCTTCCATTTCTATATTTATAAAATGCAGATTTAATATGAGCTAATCTGTTTTCCTCAAGGTTTGAGATCTTTATCTTACCTCACGACAGATGGCCCAAAACAGGTGAGGGCTGTTCTGAATTTTAGATAAACTTTTATTTCTGTTTAAAAACCCCCTTCCGTAATCCTCCATTAAATCAAAATGGCAACATGGGAAGAGAAAAAGAGGGCTTTATGCGGTCCTTTGTTGAGAGGAATGGATTCCAGCTTTATTGATGGCTTCTGGGGCTCTGTTGTCAGTTACCAGTAGTGTTTCCAGTGATTTAACTAGAGGTGGCTTGTTACATCCCACTGGGCTTCATCTGGTGAATGCCCTTCCCTTTCCTTCTTGTCTAAGAGGTTTTGAACCTATTCATACTCTGAAGTGTACGTACTCTTAGGTTTTTCACGACAAGTCCTGATTCCAGTTATTCCATCTCAAGCAATCAAAGTTGAAATGTCCCTGAAATGCTTACCTTTTGGCCTAGGCACTCAAAAAGAATTTACAAATCATTTGTCAGACCAAGTTAGGGTTTGAATTCAGAAAATATGGACACCATCAATAAAATGCTTCTCTCTGATTTAGACCTGGACTAGAAGTAGCACTTTTAAGGGTGGTTTTTAGAAACCTGAGAACTCTAAACATAAATGAATTCAGTGAATTTGATTAAGTGTAATTTGGTTGTAGACCAGCAGAGAGATAATATTTGGCATACGTGTGGTGTCCACTGTGGCTGTCATTTCTCTACTTTAGAGACATCTCCCCCAGGGCTTTTCTCTGCTCATCCACTTCAGCCCTGCATGCTCCTCGTCTGCGATTCCAGTGTCAAAGGACCTGTTTCTTTTTACCTTGTTGACTAGGCTCTGGCTGAGTGTATTAAAGCAGGAAGGATGAGCTTTCTCAGCCCAAATTCAACCCTCAGGCTAGACTAGGATGTGCCCTTTTTTAAAAGAAATCTCTCCCACCATTACTGGAGAGACCCGTAAGCCATAGGAGCTCACCCTCCTACACTAGAGTCTGAGTTCTGAATACGACATTCTGAGGAGATTTGATGTTGTGTGTTTCTCTAATAGCATCAGAATAGAGAAAGTCTAGAGGCAGTTTATCGCTGGCCAGGTTGAGAGACTGTTAGAGTGAATGCAGCCCTTTGTTCATTGGGTCTCAGATTGCGCACAGCTTATTAGTATAGTTAGCTTAAAAACGAGTAAGGAGGTAACCAGGGAGGCATAATAAGTTGTTTTCATTTGCTTTGGGTAATCTATATAATAACAGTTCTGGTGAGAGAAATTATCACAATTATTTACATTTGGCTTAGCAGACTAGAGTTTACCAAATAATTGTATATATTTTAACTTTTGAACTTTCTTTTTTTTGAGATGGAGTTTTCCTGTTGTTACCCAGACTGGAGTGCAATGGCATGATCTTGGCTCACCGCAACCTCCGCCTCCTGGGTTCAAGCAGTTCTCCTGCCTCAGCCTCCTGAGTAGCTGGGACTATGGGCACACGCTACCATGCCCAGCTAATTTTTGTAATTTTTTAGTAGAGACGGAGTATCACCATATTGGCCAGGCTGGTCTTGAACTTCTGACTTTGTGATCTGCTCACCTCAGCCGCCTAAAGTGCTGGGATTACAGGTGTGAGCCACTGTGGCTAGCCGTAGACTCCATTTTCTATGTGAAAAAACTGGAGTTTACTGATGTGACCTTTCCACAGCTATTCCAAGCTGATAAGGGTTTCTGACTCCAAATGTAACGCATTATCCTACCACACTTTGAAAGATGTAAAAATTGAAATTTAGTAGGGCTTTTTGTATATTTGCTTCTGCCTTTCATTAGGCATATACATGGGCCTCTGTTTTAACCATGGCCTTGAGTTTTGATTCTGAGGGGTAAGTCAATGAAGAGAGGTGGTCATAGCCAACCAGGAGAGAGACTTCTGCCTTCTCCCTTAGGTCAATGGAGAGAGGAGGTCATAGCCATCCAGGAGAGAGACTTCCGCCTTCTCCCTTAGGTCAATGGAGAGAGGCGGTCATAGTCAACCCGGAGAGAGACTTCCGCCTTCTCCCTTAGGTCAATGGAGAGAGGCGGTCATAGTCAAACCGGAGAGAGACTTCTGCCTTCTCCCTTTCATTGTTCCAGGTCCTCCTTGGCCTCTCCAGATACCGAGTCATGCGGTAAAGGAGAAGACAGGTTTCAGGAGCCTTGTCTGTGCTTGAGTCAATGTTAGTAAAGCAATATTGCTTGTATACTGCTTTGCAATTTAAATAGGATTTGTGGTAAGTTGTTTTATGCTGTTCGCCACAGTGTTTGAGTGGGAGTGGTAGTATCTTTATCTTAAAAATAAACAACTGAGGTCACCTTGCTTGTAATTATAACGTGATCTGAGGTGGTTTGGCTCCAGATCGCTTTCTAGTAGGCCACAGCTGGCAGATTCAGAAGCTAAAGGTCCAGGTGAAATAGAAAAATTGTGCCATTGGTAGCATTTTCAATAACCTTTAAGAAGAAAAGAGGCATATTCATTAGTTACAGATAGTTGGGAACCCTAAAATCATTTACACAGTCCCGAAAGTCCTCTCATACCATGAGAGAGAGGCCCTGGTTTTCTAGTGGTTCCAGTTACTGTATAAAAATAATTACAGATCAGTTCCTGCTGGCCTTTCCCTGAAAAAATTAGACTCCTTTGGAGCTCTGTTAACTCTCTGGAGCTATTCAGATAACATTAAATTATTTTTTCTGAGTTAAGTAGAAACTCTGAGATCTGTAAATAGAGAAGCCCAGTGGTCTCTATGAGGATGTCCTTGGCTAAGTCCATGGCTCACACCTGTAATCCCAGCACTCTGTGAGGCCAAAGCAGAAAGAACACTTGAACCCAAGAGTTTGAGACCAGCCTGGGAAACAAAGTGAGACCCCCATCTCTATAAAAAAAGAAAAAAAAATGGCTGGGCGTGGTGACATGCACCTGCAGTCCCAGCTACTTGGGAAGCTGAGGTGGGAGAATCATGTAAGCTTGAGAGGTCAGGGCTGCAGTGAGCTGTGATTGTGATCACACCACTACACTTCCGCCTGGCTGACAGAGCAAGACCTTGTCTTAAAAAAGTATTTTTTCATATTGACCCAGTTCTTTCTTACTTGATATTTTTAATACAGTGGATTCTTTTTCACTCCTGTGGTAGAAGGGACTCCCAAGTTGTGGTCATTGGTTTGCTCAGCCAGCATTTAAATATGTTGTAATATAGTGTGTGTGTCAGGCACTGTACCTTCATATGTTTAAAACTTCAGTCTCTTTGATGTCCTTTGTAATTTGTCTTTTCTTAAATTATTTGAAAGGTATGGACTCTGGAGCCATGCTGCCTGGATTCGAATCCTGACTCCATCTTTTACTAGTTGCACGTTCTCATGCCTCAGATTCCTCATTTGTAAACTGAAGATAATGATAGCACCCTCTTTAAACTGAAAGTAATGAGAGTACCCTCTTTATGAGGCAGGGTTATTGTGAGGGTTGCATGATTAGTACGTGTAAAGCACTTGGAGGCAGTGCCTGGCACACAGAAAGTGCTGATATCTACATGGCCTAATTGCCCCTCCCCTTTCTCATCAGCCTTGGTAAACTCAGACTTCTTTCTCCCTCCTGGGAATATATGGCCCATTGCGAGGCCCCTCAGTCTGATGTCTGCTCTGAAGAGTTGACTAGTGGAGAGAGGGAACATCCCCCAGCCTGTTATTCCTTCTCTGTCTGTAACTTGTTCCTGTGTTGTCATTTATGTTCCCATTGCTTTAAATACCCATTTTGTGTAGGCGATTCCCAAGTGTAAATCTTCAGTCCTTAGTTTCTGCCAGAACTTCTGACTGACTTAAAGACATTTCCATGGGGAGATGGTCTCAGCACTGCAAACTTAACATTCCTAACATGAAATTTTTTTTGTCCTGAAAAGTTTTTTTTAGCAAGTCGTTCACATCTCATTCAGTGGAAAGGGGAACTGATTGCCCAAGTCAGAAACCCAGGAGTATTTTTTTACTCCTGTCCTTTACATTGAGTCCATCAGCAAGTCCTGTCTGTGCCACTGCAGAGTCCGTCCCACTCTTCTACTTCTCTCCTTCTGTCCACGCCTTTCCTGCCACCCCAGTCCCTTGTCACTAGAGCTGATGCCTGAGAAGCTTCCTCGCGAGTTTCTCTGACCTCCACTCTTCTACAGTGCGTTCTTCACACAGTAGCCAGGGTGAGCTTTCAAAAATGTAAATCGGGTTGTATCCTTCCCTGCTTAAAATCCTCCTGACTCCCAGTTGCCTGCCTTGTCAGTCTCCCCTTTATCTGCTTACATCTGTTATATGGTGTTTCTGCACTGGAATGGAAGATTTTTGAGGTCACGGGTATTGGCTCTATCATTGCTTAATTCCCAGTATCTGGCATATATATAATAGTTGTGCAGTAAAGACTTCCTAAGTGAATAAGAATGTGCTCTTATTTCTAATACATTTTTCACTTCCCTCTTTCTGTTTTCCTTTTCTGTAAAGGATGAGCTCTGGAGGATCCAGGAGAAGCTGGAATGTTACTTTGGCTCTTTGGTTGGCTCAAATGTGTACATAACTCCTGCAGGATCTCAGGGCCTCCCACCCCATTATGATGATGTTGAGGTAAGAGAGGGAGAAAATTGCCCCATATTGGGAAGAATGAGTTGCTTAGCTTGGTTTCAGATTGTTGTCAGGGCAAGTTCACATATTCTCTAAAGCTCTTAGATCTGTCTTTGCTCTTTCTATACAGTGTCTGGAGATACTGATTTCATTTAGATGAAATCTCCAGACACTGTACAGAAGTAAATCCAAAGTAAATCCCACTAAGCTGGTTTCCCACTTCGTCTCAAAGGGAGAGATTGTTTCCACCCTTACTAATTTAAACAGCCATACATTCCTTTGAAACAAGCATTTATTGAATTTATCTACAGAAAAGTGTGATTGGCTTTTCCTTTAATTTAACAAAATATGGTCTTTAATATAAAAGGTGAGGTCACAAGTAATCCTTACATCTGCTTTCATTTTGTTCTTTTTCAGTAGCTGCCAAAATTATGTATATATTTTCCATTTGTGAAAATCTTGGGGCAGCTTGAATGAGGGTCATGTTTTCATTTAAGCATTGGCGTCTTGACAAGTATTGATTTCAGTCTGATGTGGCTCCCAAAAAAATTTAACTATTTGGCTTAGTCGTTTTATTTTTATACTAATATAAGGTATAAACACAGAGTTGTTAGAAAAAGTCCACTTTTTCTCCTTTGGTAGCAATTTGACATCAATACATTTTCCCAAAATGTTATTTTTAATGTTTTTTTTAAATAGAATATTAAAATATCTTTGACTGAATAAAGAATAAAAATCTTGAAGTTTTCCTCCCTGCCCAGGCCCTTTCAACATTCAGGATTTAGACCTTTAGTAATATCTGAAGCTTGACTTTTCCATCGGAGATTATGGGCTTTTAGCTGCCTGATAGAAGATTTAAAGGAATGAGATAGTGGGATATAAAGAACTCAGCGAGGCTCTAAGAAAGTGAAAAGAATGAATATCCAGTGTCAGGATTCATGATTCCCTGTTTTTAAAAATAAAATCCAGTAGTGGCAACTCTCATTTAAGTGTTGAATGACATACATTTCTCATTTTTCATTTTTATTTTTTATCCGAAACTTGTACGGTTGACCCTTGAGCAGTCTGGGGGTTAGTGGTGCCAACACCTTGTCCAGTCAGAAATCTGCTTGTAACTTTCGACTGCTCCAAAACTTAACTACTAGTAGCCTACTGTTGTTGGCTAGATACCTTACCGATAGCATAAACTGGTTCACACCTATTGTGTATATTAATGTGTAATATACTTCATTCTTCAATAAAGTAATCTGGAGAAAAGTTATTAAGAAAATTAGAAAGCGAAAATATAGTACTGTACTGTATCAAGACTGTAAGTTTCAGTCATTTGTTTATAAGCTAAATCCATCTGAAATGGTGGGCAGCCACAGCTGCAGGCCGCAATCTGCAGTATGCATCAAACAATGCAACTTTTTCTTCTAATGTTACGACCTTTTTCTGCGTCTCAGAAGGACTTGCGGTAACAGTGGTGGTGCTTCATGTGGGTCCCTTGGTGTTGTTCAAGGTTTAAGTTGTTGTACTAAACATGATGAAAAATTCACAAGAACTGTGAGAGATCACTTTTTACTGTGATACCCAATGTACTGGAGAGAGGAACTGCTCATGTGGAGATAATTAGCATCACACTTGAGTTCATGCAATAGCAATAGGAGGTAGCACAAAATTATTACAGCAGTACAATGTGTAAGTTTGTTTACATTTCTTGGCTGCAAATGGTGCCATGTATTGTCTGGAAGTATTTGTACAGGTAAGTTTTGATAAATTTTAACCTTTTATAATTTGTGTATATTTTATGGTAGTAGATGATAGACTAGTATCTACATATGTTTCTATATTTGATGCATTTATGCCATTCCTAATTCTTTTGGTATGTTTCATTTTTTTCAACTTGTTGCAAATCTCCCCCAAATTTTCTAATATATTTATTGAAAAAAAATCAGCATATAAGCAGACCTGTGCAGTTCATCCCCAGGTTGTTAGGCCAGGCACAGTGGCTCATGCCTGCAATCACTTTGGGAGACCGAGGCGAGAGGATTGCTTAAAGCAAGGAGTTCAAGACCAGCCTGGGCAACAAAGTGACACCCCATCTCTAGAAAAAAGATAAATTAACTGCGTGCTGTGGTGTGTACCAGCTTCCCAGCTATGCAGGAAGCTAGGGCAAGAGGATTTTTGGAGCCCAGGAGTTTGAGAGGCTGCAGTGAGCTATAATCGTGACACTGCATTCCAGCCTGGGCAGCAGAGTGAGACTGTCTCTATAAAAGAAAAAAAAAACAAACTTGTATTGTTCAAGGTTCACCTATAGTATTTGTCTAAGCCCTTAGAGGGCTACTATTCCAGAAGTACTCTGTGAGTTGCCATGAAGCTCTCTGATGCTCCTGGGCCTTGTGGATGTCTAGGTTTTCATCCTGCAGCTGGAGGGAGAGAAACACTGGCGCCTCTACCACCCCACTGTCCCCCTGGCACGAGAGTACAGCGTGGAGGCCGAGGAAAGGCTCGGCAGGCCGGTGCATGAGTTTACACTGAAGGTATGTGGTGGTCATTGTGGGCACCTCATGTGGGAACCATCATGATTTTCTCTGTTGCTAAGACAAGTTCAGGCTCAAGGTTTAGAGTTCATGTGATGGTCCCCATGGGAATGTGTCCCTGGGTCTCAGGGCAGGGTGGCTGTCATTGCCATCAGCCAGCGCATGAAATTTCTGAAGGTGTCTTGGTGGTTGCACTTGGAGAAGTGAGCTAAGGAAGTATTAAGTTCGCTTCCCAAATAACCTGTCTTCATATACAGTTCAAGTTCAATAGGAAGAAAGAGAATTCAGTGAACTACTGACTCTAGAGGAAAAATGGAAATGCTGGCCTTCGGCAGCTTCTCCATATCTAAGACAATGGTCAGCACAGGGCTGGAAGTTGCTTAGGCAGAGCATAGCCATGGATCCCTTAGTTTTTTATTAAAATTCCAGTGTGACTCATTTTTATTCTGGTTATATGGCAGACTGTCTCTGTACCTGCTGCATACAGTTACCAGAACAGCAGTAATCAGGAAAGCTCTTGAGGATTCCTTCTTCAGGGATTCAGGTGGCTTGATCATGTGCAAGTTCCTTGAAATCTTGCTGCTGAGCAAATCTGTCTTTGAGCAGTGAACCTCGATGGGAACATAGCCAGTCCCCAGCAGGAGAGGTTGTTGAGGAAAAGAACCTTAGAGGGATAGGAGTCATTTCATAATTCAATTTTATACTCCTTCTTAAAACATGTAACTTAATTTCCTTCAGCAATAAAACGAGAGTTATTTTAAACCATTCCAAAGAATCTACCAACCCGACACATTTGCATATACTTATTGTTTTTCTTGTGTCTCGAAGTTATAATTAGTCTGTTTCTTACTCAATGCTTTGTGTGTTTTTTGATTTTAGAATCCTTTCCTGCTTCCCAGTAACTAAGGGAAGCTAACTCGCTTTTTAGGATGGGTGACTGTATCATAGGAGACTTAAATAAATAAACAACAGTTAAGGTAACCTTACTGGTTTTTATACCTTTGGTCAGTGGTCATGAAACTATGGCCCATGGGCCAGAAGATCTGGCCTGCTGCCTGTTTTTGTAAATCGTTTATTGGAACACAGTCACACCCATTCTTTAACGTACTGTGTTGATGCCACACCAGCTGAGCGGACTGGTTGCCACAGAGATCACTTGGCCCACAAACCAAAATTATGTGTTGTTTTTACATTTGGCTCTTCACAGAGTCTGCCAGCTTCTGCTTTTTTGCACCATGTTTATAGAGATTCGTGGTTGGTTATCTTTAAAGACTAAGCCATGTATGGTCTCGGAGGTCAGGGCTGAGTTGTTCAGGCTGATGAACTGGCTACTTGCTCTGCCTGAGAAGGTCAGGCTTCACAGTGGCCTTTAAGTGTAGATGGTGTGGACTTTTCATATTGTTGCCATGCCCATTAAACACTCAGTGAACACATAGTTCATAAGAGACGCCCTGAGTCTCCTGGAAGGAGAAAGACCATGTTGTGCAGGGTTGTTCAAGTGTGTATGTGTATGCACATGTGAGCTTGTACCCAGCGGGCCTCTTCAGCGAAATCTTGTGTTAGTGCCCAAAGATGAAATAGACTTCATGGCTGTGACGGAGGGTGGGGCGGCGGTGGGCATGGGAGAGTGACAGTGGGGGTCCTGGAGCCCTCATCTGCCTCTTTCCTTTACACCAGTGGCAGCCTGTGCAGGTCATCTGCAGACCCAGGCTCTCAGGATGCGATCACCCCTGTGATGGAAGCTCCACTCTGTGGCTCAGGGATCTGACAGATCTGAGTTTGGATTCAGCCTGTCACTTCTTGGCCACATGTCTTTGGTCAAGCCATTCATCCAAGTCCCAGTTTCCTCTTTATTAAAATGGAGATCATGATATTTACCCTGCAGGCTATGAGGGTTGAAACATATTATTTTGGTGCCTCCTTTACAATAAAATTCTTTGGAGGAAATATCTGTATGTCTGTCTTAGTTTTGCCGTTGCTGCTTGTCAAATGACCACAAACTCAGTGGTTTAAAACAACATAAATTCATTATCTTATGCCTCTGGAGGTCAGGAGTCCAAAGGGTCTCACTAGGGTGGCTGTACCGCATTCTTTCAGGAGGCTGCAGGGGAGAATGTTTACTTGCCTCTTCAGCCAGGATGGTGGGGCAAATGTGTATGAAATGAATGAAACACAGCCATGTGCCACTTGACATTTTAGTCAACAACAGACTGTAGATGTGACAGTTCTCCCATAAGGTTATAATGAAACTGAAAAATTCCTGTCACATAGCGTTATCGTGGCCATTGTAAAACGTTGTAGTGCTACTCATTACTCACGTGTTTATGGTGATGCTGGTGTAAACAAACCTACTTCTCTGCTAGTTGTATAAAAATGTACAGCGGGGCCCTAGGCTTTCCCATTCATTTACCATCACTGACGGACTCACCCACAGTAAATTCCAGTCCTATGTAGATGTTCCAGTCTTTGTTGTTTATACTGTATTTTCACTTGTCCTTGTTGAGGTATATTTAAGTACATAAACACCATGTAGTTACAGTTGTCTATTGAGTGCAGTCACGTGCTGTATAGGTTTGGAGCCTGGGAGCAATAGGCTATACCATGTAATCTAGGGAGCAGGACATCTACCTAGATTTGTAAGTACAGTTTGATGTTTGCACAGTGACAAAATTACTTTTCTCAGAACATAACCCCATTGTTAAGTGACATGTGACTGTACATATGAGAGTGTCACTCGGGCTAGCACAGACACACTCAGTAAATCATAGTTATAATTATCAGTGAAGCGTTCACTTGAAGTACTGTCAGTTTGCTGGCATTCAGGGGAACTTTGCAACCAGGATAGCTTTTATGAATGTATATCATGATATATTCTTGCTTTGAGGAGAATCTTAAACATTTTTATAAAGTTGATATTTCCTGAGCTGTTTTGCCAGGGCTCATGGTCTTAAACATTGCACTAGACTGCTGCTTGCAGCTGCAGAGAGAAGATGAGCTACCCTCCAGATTCGCCCTTTCCTCTGTGGGTAGCCACTATGCGGAATGTTTTGGCTTGAGTGGGATTACGAAGAAGGCAGCTCCGGGCGGGAGTAATTTAGGGAGAATGTTTTAGTCCACTCCCTTGGAATAGGGCAGAGGAGATTCAGCTGCCCGAGAAAATGACGGATCTTTCATTGCATCTGATTTTTCCGTTCAAGTAAGGATTGTATAGTTTTTCACCCATTCATCCCAACATTCACTGAGCCTGTGCTGAGTGCCAGGTGCTTTGCTAGGGCAGGTTCTGGGGAAGGCAAGGTGGGTAAGACACAGACCCTACCTAGAATACTCGGAAATTATCAGGAGGTGGAGGAATGGCAGGTACAATGATACAATCCAGTCACATGCCCATCATTGCCCTAAGACCTTTGGAAGCAGCATCTCTAATCTTCAAGATAATCCTGTGAGGTTTGGGGCTATTAGCTTCATTTTACAGATAAAGAGACTGAGGCTTTGGGCAGGTAAGTAAGTTGCCAGGTCAGCAGCCAGTAAGTGGCAGTGTCTATATGACTCTCAATTAAAGCTCCTACTCTTAACCACTGAAGCGTGCAAGACGGAGGAAGCAGGCGTCCCAGATACAGGACGTCACCTTGCGTGATACCTGCGTCAGGGTGGGGTAGTCTCAGGTGAGTCTGGTCTCAGCTTGAGAATGAAAAGAAAGTGACTTCAGGCACTGAGCCTCTCGTGGATTGTGGTTCACAGTGACAGGCTCACGGACGCAGACACGTGAGCCCAGCATACAGACTAGATGGCAGTTTCTAGAATGGAGAACTGAGATGCAGAGTCCATATTTATCTCCTTGAAATAAAGAGGACTGACAAGGAATACTTCTTACTAACTTCTCTCCCCTTTCCTGTTCCTTCCTTTAGCCAGGTGATCTGTTGTACTTCCCCAGAGGAACCATTCATCAGGCGGACACTCCTGTGGGGCTGGCCCACTCGACTCACGTGACCATCAGCACCTACCAAAACAAGTAAACACTGACTCCCGGCTGCGCGTGCCAGGGCAGCTCTGAGTCCTGGCCCACAGCAGCCATGTTTAGGAGGGACAGGAGGGAGTTGGCCCCTACTTCCCATGCAGACCCCAGGGTTTCTGTGTCCTTTGCTGACTTCCACATTCCTTTGATGTCCCATGTGTGTGACTGGCCCCTCTAGACTTGCTCCTGGGGACATCATGAACCTGACTCTGTGTATGATATGAGACATTGCCCAAATAGAGAGTCCTATAGTTTGGAAACAAAGAGACTAGCTGTGGGTGTGTCAGTGTGTCAGTGATGCCAGGCTGGGGTCGGACTCCCTCTTTTGTTTAAATATGATAAAATATATATAACATAAAATACGCCTTTTTTTTTTTTTTTTTTTTGAGACGGAATTTTGCTCTTGTTACCCAGGCTGGAGTGCAATGGCGCGATCTCGGCTCACCGCAACCTCCGCCTCCTGGGTTCAGGCAAATTCTCCTGCCTCAGCCTCCTGAGTAGCTGGGATTACAGGCACGCGCCACCATGCCCAGCTAATGTTTTTGTATTTTTAGTAGAGACGGGGTTTCACCATGTTGACCAGGATGGTCTCGATCTCTTGACCTCGTGATCCACCTGCCTCGGCCTCCCAAAGTGCTGGGATTACAGGCTTGAGACACTGCGCCCTGCCAAAATACGCCATTTTAAACATTTTAAAGCATACATAGTTTGACATTAATGACATTCACACTCTTGTGCAACCATCACCACTGTCCATTTCTAAAACGTTTCATTACAACAGAAACTCTACCCATTGAAATCTCCAGGTCTCTTTTAAGGGCCTCTTTTTACAGTCCATGAAATTGAAGTAGGCCGGGCAGTCTGGAACAGCGGGACTAAAATGCGTGTGCTGACAGCACTTCATGTTTCATTTCAGCTAGCGCCTCCTCACTGGTGGCAGTGCTGCCCAAAAGCAGCAGCCTTGCTGGTCCAAATCATGTTTAAAAACACTACTCATGGCCAGGCGTGGTGGCTCACGTGTGTAATCCTAGCATTGTGGGAGGCCAAGGCAGGCGGATTCTTGAGGTCAGAAGTTTGAGACCAGCCTGGCCAACATGGTGAACCCCCATTTCTACTAAAAAAAAATACAAAAATTAGCCAGAAGTGGTGGTGTGCATGTGTAATCCCAGCTACTCGGAAGGTTGAGGCAAAAGAATTGCTTGAACACAGGAGGTGGAGGTTGCACTGAGCCGAGATCACGCCACTGCACTCCAGCCTCAGCGACACAGTGAGATACTGTCTCCAGAAAAAACAATACTAGTCATGAACTCTTGCATTAGGCAAATATGTACTAGACATTGTGTTTGTTGGTGGGAATCAAGGATTGAATTGAAGGGACTTCGAGAGAGCTTATACTTTGGAAGTGGTTGTGGGAGAAGAGATAGTGTGATACCTTCTATGGTAGGTTTGCAGAGAAGACTCTTGGAGCATGGAGGAATGAATTTAGCTAAGTAGGGGCAGTAGAGAAGGCTTCAGAAATAACTTGACACCAATGCTGAGTAAGTCTCAAAGGATGAGTAAGTAGGGGTGGGTCAGCAGATCCGAGGAGGAAAGGACATTCTAGGTCTAAGGGACAGCAAATCCTCTCCTACCTTCAAGGCCAGAACTTGCAGAACAAGTTAGTAAGCATATCTCCATTTCTTCATTGGACTTTTCAGTGTGAATTTCACCTCTGTGTTTAAAAGACACTGGAAGAGCTAGCCGAGGCCTGGCCTGAGTTTGGTGCTATCTTTGCCCACAAGTAAAAGGCCCAAGCTTGTATTAGGCTTCCATTAAAGCCCTCATCACTGTGGCTAGGTAGATTCCTTGCATCTTAAGGGACAGACAGTCACCAAAGCCAGCACAAGAAGAGCAAGGTCACTGGAGGGAGTAAGTCCTAGAAACTGTGGAATTACCAGGCTACAGAGAGGCTGGAATCAGAAGTCCATTCTGGATTCAAAGCAGCTCTGGGCCACATAGTTTGGCCCTGTGAACATCCGTGCGTCTGCTGGGGTCCCATTGTTCACGTTTCTCAGCTATTCCCTCTCTGTAATTCTCTTCCATTTCTCTTACTGCCACCAACTGGTTTTCCAGTGACTGCTGTTTTGCTCTCTCATATCCCTTCTTTAGCTTCTGTTTACCCTTAACACCGAGCCATCACCAGTTACTGCTCTGATCCCCTCTGTCTCACTGACCCTATTACCCTTAACACCGAGCCATCACCAGTTACTGCTCTGACCTCCTCTGTCTCACTGACCCTGTTACCCTTAACACTGAGCCATCACCAGTTACTGCTCTGACCCCCTGTCTCACTGACCCTGTTACCCTTAACACTGAGCCATCACCAGTTACTGCTCTGACCCCCTCTGTCTCACTGACCCTGTTACTCTTAACACTGAGCCATCACCAGTTACTGCTCTGACCCCCTCTGTCTCACTGACCCTATTACCCTTAACACTGAGCCATCACCAGTTACTGTTCTGACCTCCTGTCTCACTGACCCTATAAGTTTTTGCTTCCGCTAAGGACCTGACTCACTGTCTGTTTCCCAATCCCAAGAGTGAAGGACTGGCTGGCTGCCCCTGGGACCTATCCATTTCTTCTCCATTCAGCTGGGAATGGGGAAGAGCTTTCTAAATATAGACGTTTCCTGCCTAGGGCTGTGGGTGGTCACCATGATCAATGTGTCTAGGCTGGATTTTGACCTGTGTCTTGGTCAGTGATGCTGGAGCTAGAATGGGAGGATGTGACTTGAGGATCATTGCCCCCCAGAAATGATCCTGTGCCTTGAGCCTAGTGCTCCTTCAGGTACCATAGAAAGATGAAGATTTGGGGCCTCTCCTAAAACCTGTCAAGGTAGCATCATTGGAGTGTTTTGGGGACTGCTGTGTGTCGTCGATTTGGTTGTTTTACCGAAGTGAACCCTTAGAGATATTCCTAAATTTTGGGAAGTCCCAGTATCTGTTCTGACTCTTAGAAGAGCACTTTTTTTTCTTTTTTTTTTTTGAGACGGAGTCTCGCTCTGTCACCCAGGCTGGAATGCAGTGGCACAATTTCAGTTCACTGCAACCTCCGCCTCCCAGGTTTAAGCAATTCTTTGGTTCAGCCTGCTGAGCAGCTGGAATTATAGGCATGTGCCACCACATCTGACTAATTGTTGTATTTTTAGTAGAGACAGGTTTCACCATCTTGGCCAGGCTGGTCTTGAACTCCCGACCTCGTGATCTACCCGCCTTGGTCTCGCAAAGTGCTGGGATTACAGGTGTGAGCCACCATGCCTGGCCAGAAGAGCACCATTTAACTTCTGCTCAAGTCCTCCATGAGCTGTTGCTGTATGACTTCCATCCACATAACCCTGCAGAGGAAGCACATATTTTATGTTGCTGAGAGATCTGCATGTGCCCTCCAGGTTGAGACTCAATAAAAGATGCAGGGTTGGATATAACATTAAGTCACAAAGCAGTGAGGCTGCCAGGGAGTAGATGTCTTGGGAAAAGTGTCTCTTGTGGTTTTTGTCCTCCTTTGCAACTTTTCTGGGACGGAAGCATAACAGTGTTAATTTTGCTTACTGAGTGAGAAGTAAAAGTCATACTGTGAATTTCCATTTTCCACTAGCCAGCAAACTGGTGTTTGCTCCCCTATTCCTGAAATCTGGTGACACAGGAAAATTTTAAATAGCTAAGAAATATTTAAAGAGAGCATCCCCACAGAGAGTGTTTCTTCTACCGGCACACACTTAGGAATGAGCCAATTCCAGATACCCCAGAGAAAGCAAAGGTAATTGAATAGGGATGCTTGTCCCTAGATGTTATTTTTAGTCACTGGCTTCTATCCCCTGGTAAAACCATTGCTAGAAATAATTGTTTTGGAATTATTGATGGTAGATATTCAGGAGCAGCATCCTTTGTTGTGACAAGGAAAATGTAACATACAAGTGTTCAAATAATTACACAATCCAGAGATCTTGCTGTTACCCTAAATTTCTGTTGCATTTATTGCATATAAAATTTGGTTTTAGGTCCTATAATGACTATGTAAATTTCCTACAAATCTCCCCTCATAAACACTGTTGTTAAAAATTGGGTCCATTGAACTTCCTGTTTTATGAAGTCTATGATTATTTTTCTGAGAACTTTTAAGAGAGATTGGTATTGAAGCCTAGCTTCCCGCTTAACTTTGCAAGTGAGTGACTGGAATGGGGAGGGAGGAAGCAGGGTGGTTGATGAAGGTCTTAGATTTCCATGCTGAGTAATGTCCAATTAATGGAACTCAAAAATGCCTGAACAGGGAAGCTGTAATCCAATTTGTAGCTCTTGGCTTGACTAGTAATAAGTATTTTATGTATATTTCATATGTGTTCACTGTTTTGGCCTTTTTTTTCCCTCTTGATGCATATCCTAGTTCATGGGGAGACTTCCTTTTGGATACCATCTCAGGGCTTGTATTTGATACCGCAAAGGAAGACGTGGAGTTACGGGGCGGCATACCCCGGCAGCTGCTCCTGGTAAGGAGTAAAGACAGGTGGGAATGAAGGATGGTAGCTGCAGCCCAGGCCAGCTGAAGTCCTACCTTAAGGACCCCGGGAGACTTCTTCCCACATGAGCCAGACCTTTCTCCTGTGCTGCACTGCTGAGCTGTGTGACTTGGAGAATGAATGGAGTCCCATGGTGCTGTATGGGCAGCTCTGTATTTCACAGTGGTGGTAGCAGGCAGTGTGAGAATGTTGGTTGAATGAATAATACAGCCAGGAGAACTGTAGATTTAGCACACATAAGATTACTCATTAAGAGAGATCCACCGTACTGGAGATCCTGGCCTCGGTGTATTTGTTGGCTTTCCTGTTCTTTCATTACATTTTGAAACGGGAATGCTATTTGATTAGTTTTGAGATGAGTGGATTAGTGCTGAGTCGAGCAAAGGTTGCTTTCTCTGTCCGAAGCGTTCATCTTAGGACAGTGACTTGTTTCCCAAAAGGCAGGGCTCAGGCTGTACCGTATTTCCAAGGATCTTTATTTCTAGGCAAAATTCTGAAAATGTTTTGCAAACAATAGGCAGCTTAGAATGAACAGTGTTTATAAGGAAATGATGAGATATTCTTAGGGGCTCAGGTTGTTCCTTCCCTTTTGGAGTGACATGGATTAATGTCTGTAACAGGTGGTTGGCAGTTTTGCAGCCTACTGTGGAGACTGAGCTGGGCAGTGAGTTCTGCTGGCATCTGAGCCAGGACTCACCTCTGTGTTTCCAGCAGGTGGAATCCACAGCTGTTGCAACAAGACGATTAAGTGGCTTCCTGAGGATGCTTGCAGACCGGCTGGAGGGCTCCAAAGAACTGCTTTCCTCAGACATGAAGAAGGATTTTATTATGCACAGACTGCCTCCTTACTCTGCGGGAGATGGAGCCGAGCTGTCAACACCAGGTGGAGCTTGCTGCTTTCTTATGGGTGGTCAGAGGCTAATGTGGGATGTTTGAGGTTTTTCTAGGTAGGCTTGTCTTTGAACAAATGGAAAGTGTGAAGTGCTTTAGTGTTAATGCGGACCTATCCATCCTTAGTAAATATGGCCAGGCGAGATGTGCTGCCCTCATCCTTTAGCACCCTGCCTCTTAGAAGTCATTTGCAGAGAACTTGTATTCCAGCATGATGGGAAATAAGAGCCCTGTCCTTTTGGGTGAGAAATGCGTATATTTGTAGGTACTGTGGTATTCATAGTCTTCAGGACATTTAAAAAATTTGAACATCAAAATAACCTTGTTGGAATTAAGTCAGGGATGGGTGTTTGTGTTACTTAAAGGAATACCGGAGGCCGGGTACTTTATACAGAAGTTTATTTGGTTCATGGTTCTGCAGGCTGTACAAGAAGCATGGTACTGGCATCTGCATTTGGAGAAAACCTCAGGCTACTCACAGTTGAGGGGGAAAGGGAGCCGGCATTTCCCCAACACGTGGTGAGAGAGGAAGCAAGAGCAAGGAGAATGCCAGGCTCTTTTTAACCCCAGCTCTCGTGGGAACTAGTGGAGCAAGAATTCACTCACTGACCCTGACCCCAGGGAACTTACCTCTTCATGAGGGATCTGCTTCCTGCAATGTGACCCAAACACCTCCCCTTAGGCTGCACCCCACACTGGGGATCAAATGCAAACATGAGATTTGGACAAACATCCCAATCATAGCATGGGTAAAATGGTTACCATCAGCCAGTGAGATTCAAGAAACGGCCAAGATTGTCATCAACCTTCTCCAAGTTACAGGTGCCTAATTTATGACAAATTAGGTTTAGGCTGCAAATGATAAAACATACTTCTGGGTGTCATTGATGACTTCCAGATGGATATGTTAATGTCCTATAGCAAAGATCACCAAGAATGTACTCCTGAATTCAGACAACAGTTGGATGTATTGACTTGTTGCAGTGGGAAGACCACACACCATTGGGGACCGCAGGGCATCTCAGTAAAGGGTGCTAGGAAACATTTACAGGACTTAGGCGTAAGTTAGGTGGTTTTGGAGAGGGTTCAAGGAAGCAGGGCGTTGCTCTGGATTGATGTCAGGAAGTGGAAGGATTCTATGATGAAGTCTCCTAAATGCTACATGGTAGGCAGGAGCAGGGTATGAGGCTGAAGCTAGCAGTGGGAAAGCAGAAGCAGTCATTCATTAGCCAGACTAGGGGGATGCTTGTCAGTGTTGTGGTTTGGAATATGTTCTTGCCTTGCCTGAGTTCAGACGTGAGTATGTACGGAGTGGTGGTGTTTTGTCTTGACCTATCATGGTCACAGAGTGATCTCTGATGTTAGTATTCTGTGGAATTGCCTGTGTTTACCAGGACAGCACCAAGACCTAGCGGTGACTGCCAGACCGACTTTTTGGCTTTTTGGCTGCTGTTGGTTCTCAGGGTTGAGTGAAAGGAATATTTCTTTTTCTTTTTTTTTTTTTTTTTTTATCTGGGAGACAAGAGTCTTGTTCAGGCACCAGGATGGAGCACAGTGGCACAATCTCGACTGACTGCAACCTCCGCCTCCCGGGTTCAAACAACTCTCCTGCCTCAGCCTCCTGAGTAGCTGGGACTACAGGTGCGCGCCACCACACCCAGCTAATTTTTTGTATTTTTAGTAGAGACGGGGTTTCACCATGTTTGCCAGGATGGTCTCGATCTCTTGACCTCATGATCTGCCCGCCTCGGCCTCCCAAAGTGCTGGGATTACAGGCTTGAGCCACCATGCCCGGCTGAAAGGAATATTTCTTACTAATTTTTATAAAATTCTTTATTATGACCAAGTGAGAACCGCTGAGATAGATAATCTGTAAGGTCCCTTCCAACACTGATTGTATGTTCACTTTTACTATAGTCTTTGGAGGAAGCTTAGAATTTTTTGATTGCATCTATTCAAAATAGTAAATGTTTTACAAGTACATTGTTAAACCTTTACCAGAACAGTTTGCTTGAACACCAGCTTATGGCCAAGACTACTTCAGAGTTATCCTTATCTTAGCTATTATATTCAATAAAGTGCCTCTTTCCCCAGGCAGATGACCCTGTAAAACTAGTCTGTTTTTAGTGGCTGCTGTTCCACTAAGTTAAATCCAATTTGGAAAAAAAATTTTTTTTTCTCTGTGGACTTTATTAGATGGCTTTTATAGGATAGCTTGCGTGACCTACATAGACTAAATAATTTACCAGGGTCACACACCTACTTATTGGTGGAGTAGAGCAATTTTGGTCTCAGGTAGTCCTTCCAGAGTCCACATGGTGAGCAAGAAGCTTGCTGAGGACAGAAACTGGAGTGTTCTGTGCAGAAGGCAGCACGGTCTTACGTGCCATGTTAGCTCCTGTGCTTCGATGGTATTACTGTTACCTATTTATTGTACTTACAAACTGACTTTATTATTTATCTGATTCTATGTCTGTCTTCACTTTAAGAATGAGCTCCATGCCGGCGTGAACTATAATGTCAGTAGAGTTGGGGTGAGCACATTCTTCAGCTGGAGAGTGTGCCATGTCTGGATTTAGCTGTAAATTGTTACTAAATGTGTTTCTTATGTGATTGCGTCTGTAAGCAAGTTTGAATCTGCCTGTTTCCTTTTCTGAAGGCCGGCTCTCTCTGTCTTTGGGATCTTCTAGGTGGAAAGTTACCGAGGCTGGACAGTGTCGTGAGACTGCAGTTTAAAGACCACATTGTCCTCACAGTACTCCCAGATCAGGATCAATCTGTGAGTATCCAAGAGGGAGGAGATTGCCTTTCTTCTCAGGGTATTTTTCATCAGAGGCCTCAGGTTATCAAACTAACCACTGGTCTCTGCCCTTCTCCTTTTAGGAACCCATCTGCATTCAGTTTAATGCCTTTTCTTCAGGTCAGATGATGACCAGATCTCATAGTTTCAGTTCCGTATTTTCCTGCCCTCATCCCCACAGAATCTTCCTTCATTCCCTTTTTGTGTTGATTCATGTCTGGTCTTTGCTTCCCATCCTACTTCAGGTCTTATTGTTCTTGCTTGGACAGCCATAGACCTTATTCCTGAGTTTCCCAGCCTCAGTTCTCCACACTGTGCATATCTGTCCTTCTATGTGGTTTTGTGGATGTTGTGTCCCCTTAAACGCTGTCCTGTAAATTATGGAGAACAAAGTCTATGTTCTGTAACTTTGCTACCTAGCCCGGTGATTCCCCAAACTGGCTGACTGACCATTAGAGTCAATTAGAAAGCTTTTTAAAATGAAAAATTCCTGGACTTCATCTGGTCTTGAAGCCTTTGCATTTAGTTTTCATAGAACTCCCCACACAGTCCTAAGGACCTTGGAACAATCGCATACCATATAGCTTCACCCCATTCCTCCTAATCAGCTCTCTGAGGAGGTATCCCATGAATGATCCAGGGGGCGAGGGGACACTCAGCTTTTCCCTATAACCTGATTGTTCCAGCCATCAGGGCCAGACATACACACACATATATCCCTCAAAAGTATACATTCCTACATTCCTGTTTTTTTGTTTTTTTTTTTTTTTAAAGTGATTCTGATAACCAATTTGAGACATAGTACAGTAGGCTAAGATTTTTTTGCCCTTATCTAAGAGGTGACAGAATGGCTAAAGGCTCTGGAAGAGACGATACGTTGCACTGTGTAAGAGGGGGAGTGAAGGGAGGTAGGGACCATTTGGAAGGGAAGGGTACTGTGATTGAAATGGAGTTTTTTGTAGATCACACAGCTGGTATTTCTCAGGAGTTAATGCTTTCCTGATGTTCATAAATTGTCAGTTTATACCTAGGAATGTCAGATTTTTTTGATTCAGAAAAGAAAGTGCAGGTATGATTAAAAAGAAACTGAGCGTTTCATTGATAAGTTGATACATAAATCATTGCTTTTTCATTGAATCCTGAAGATGCTCTTCCAGGTAGCACTCCAGCTGTTTTAACAACTTAGAATGCCCATTAACTGCCACATACAAATAGTAACCTGTGGTGACCAATGAAGTATAGATGTTATGTGGATGCACATACCCATCACGTTTTGCCAAAAGGATTCTTTCCAGTATTCAATACATTTCACTTGAGCACCAAGGCTTTTAAGACTTTTCTTGGTGTTGACCTATTGGAAAACCTTCCTAGTACTGACACCCTCAATGATGGCCCAATGCATTTTTTCCCCAAAAGGATGAAGCTCAAGAAAAGATGGTTTACATCTATCATTCCTTAAAGAATAGGAGAGAGACACACATGATGGGAAACGAGGAGGAAACAGAGGTTTGTTCCAAATGAAAACAAATGTCTTTCCTGTGATTTGCATGGTTGCTGGGAAGAATGGATTATTTTTGATTTATAGGTAATGTGCTCTTCATGGCTGCAGTGTGGACTTCCCATTTTGCACGACTTACAGAGCTCTAGCATGGGAATGATTAAGTCAGACACGTCTGTGGTACATGCATACCAGTTTTAAAACATACTAGCTGGGACCTGTAGCCTTTAGGAATGGTATAATGTAAGGCATTTCAAATGACTAATACCACTTACTACATAAATTAGGATGCCTTTTATTATAGAAGTTGGCATCTTTTATGTTATCAAATGGTAGTGTATCTAAAATACTCATGAAAGGTTGTCAAAAATAATGATGTATTGAGAATAAATTTACAGGAAAATGCCACTTCAGTGACGTGAAGTAGTATACATATATTTTGACTAATTAATTTATCCTTTTTCAGTCTCATGGACTTCGCTTTCCTTTGTCACATTTGGATGCACTGAAGCAAATTTGGAACAGTTCAGCTATTTCTGTCAAGGACCTGAAACTTACTACAGATGAGGAAAAGGAAAACCTGGTATTATCCCTCTGGACAGAATGTTTAATCCAAGTAGTTTAGTGCCTTTGCAGAATCAAATGCCTACTATTTTATGTGCACATATTAAAAGCAAAGCCCTGAGCCGAGGAGAAGATGAATTCAAGTTTCCCTACTTGCTTATCTACTAACATAAAGCCTCCCTGTTACAGGTGGTCAGTTGGCCCGATGCACTAACAAACAGGGGCACATGAAAGAAAGAACAGCACATTACCAAGTGTCTCAGAACATGACAAAACTATATTTTGACAAGTTTATTTAATCCAGTGTGGTAGAAAAGGCACAATTCCAATATATCATTTAGAATTGAATGTCGTTAACCTGGCTTTGTTCTTTGGAAGAAACAACTTTAAAGAGCTTTGGCTCTAGAAAAAATTTAAACAATTAACACAACGAAGAAAAAGTTTAAATTTTTTTTTTTTTTTTACAATGAAAATATACATACCTTTGTGTATAGACAAGCCCTCACCCATTAAAGTTATCCTGTAACATAAATTTTATTAAATACTGCCCCACAGATGAGCGGCACTCAACACCTGTGGAAAAAAGTGAGTTACAGAGGCTGCTTACGAGATGGAGAAAAGCCTGAGCTTGAAGGAGGAAAAAACTCAGTATTTACATGGAAAGACTAAGTCTATAAAAAATAAAATAGTGGGTCTTTGAGTTTAAAATAGTCACTGTTATTTTACATTCTAAAGTGCATATAGGTTGATATTTTAAAATATATCATTGGAGAATTTAATCTTTTTTTATAAAAATAGAGCATTTTTCTGCTTTCTGATGAAAGTTGGGGATAAAAGGAAAAGTTGTCTTAATGGAAGTTTCAATCCAATTCAGCAGGGAAAGAAAACTGCTTGTGAATTGTGCAGTAAAAAGTGGTAATGACTATTGGAAGCTAAGTCAAAGGTGATTTCCTACCTGATTTTACTAGCATAAAAGTTACTTAAAATGGGAGTGAAAAACTGAGGTTTCTATTATTTAGTAGATAAATCAACTCCACATTTACTTGAAAAGATGGTAAGGTCAAGGTTCAAATGCTACTTTGTTTTAATTTGGACATTTGAAATTTCTCTTGAGGCCCCCCCCAAAAAATGATGCTTCTCCTTAACTCTAGGATGAAGTGTCAGCATAGAGACAGGCGACCACTGTTGTAGAGTCTTGTCACCTAAAGGGATGTCTTGGTTAATACATAAGAGTGCAAGTTCGGCCTCAGGTTATTTGTACTTTCTTTAGTTTGAAGGACTGAGGACATAATGGCTGCAGAAAAGACTTTACTACTTGTGCCTTATTCCTAATGAAGCTGAGGTCCCTGCCTGGGGTTAGTTACAAGTATAAATACTTACAAGGTGCGCTAGTTATAAAGCCGCAGTATAGAAACCTTAAAGTTTATGTAGAAAGGCTTAATACATTTTCAGATGTTGCTAAAAAATTACTCATCTGTTTGCAAAAGTATGACTCGACCTATAGGAATCTGTTTCCTTATGCTTTGTACTTATACAAGCATCTAGGCAGGCTATTAATAAATAATACAGGATAACAGCATCACCAGTGTCCAATAATGGGCCATCAGTTTGGTGGATAGGAGACAAAATACACACTTCAGGAAACTTGCTCACCACAGCTGGAGACCACGAATAGAACCTTTCCCAGACATCATCATATTTTCTTCATAGGAACACTAAGTAATGGCAAGAATATTTTGAGTTTTTCCATGGTTAAGAGCGATAGTCTCAGAGGCTGGAGAAAAAGTTCATTCTGCTCAGTGATCCAGGAATGTGAAGACAGTAGCTTCCTTTCCATGTCCACAAGACAATGACAGATGTGAGTTTCCTCCTTTGCTCTTTCTAGGGATGTTGATTCTCTCACAATATTTCAATGTCCCATTTCTGTGTTTCTTCTCCCTCTAGGGGCTGATTTACAATTACATGAGTCTTGTCACAATAGTTTCCTCCTAAAACAGAAATTCCAAAAGAAAAGATTATTTGTTCAGGCCGGTGCTTAGCAATTTCACAATTTTCACAAGCTTCTGTTCCGCTCACCGTTTCAGTGGATTAAGGTGCCATTTACAAAGAAATCTGAAATGGGAAGCTGAGTTTCCACAGGCTTAGCCATTATTCACCTCAAATTGGACCTTATTATGACTCAGATTGAAATACTAAAAGGCATAATACGTGATTGTATAAGTGGTGTGCCTTAACAATGCAATTCTTCAGAACAAAGTGCTCTGAGAGAACTCTGGCTGAATGTCAGGTACTGTGTTTTTGTTTCTACACCAACAAAACTGTGACTAACCCAATTAAAGCAACAGCTATGAATAATATTGGCCCTGACCTTGCTGAATTCAAAAACAAGGTTAATTGATACCTGCCATAAAGTCTAGCTGAGGGTTTTTAAGGACCATAGCAATTCCTGGCAAAAAACTAGGTATGTTTCTAAGAAACAGATGATATTCATTTTATGGTTTATGGTGCTTCAGATTTAGAACTGTTCTGAAGTTCATGTAGCAAATGAAAGTTTTACAACTGTACTAATCAACAAAAACCCTAGGCTTTGTTGTTTGGGTTTTTCTGCTGGTTGTTTTGTTTGTAAAACTGTGTATCTTAACTTTTTTCAAGCATAATTTTAAATGACTTAACATTTCTCTTATAAGGATGTCCTTTACCCAGAATGAGGAGATCTGGAACTGAAACTAATATCCAGGGACACAAAATTGGGTATCATCAAAGGCCCACCTTTAACATCAAGGACAAGTTGATCACTGAGATAAGAGCTGATAGTTCCATTTTTATTCAGTCTCCACTTCTGCCTGAATTGCCCATGTTCAGTCCATAGAGCTACTTTAGCTCCAGGTGTGTCTCGGCCACCAATCACATCAAGACACGTATCACTGGCCTAAAAGGGTTAAGAAATGATTAACTGGCAGTACTATGTTTGCTAAAATTGAATTACAACCCTTTTCTTTTTAGGTAAACAAATCATAGACATGAAGTGTGTGTGTCTTATCTAAAAACAATACTAAATAGTATCATTTCAGTAAGCCCTTTTGAATGTCTTCTTTATGGCTGTGGGTAGGAGATGATACAGAAATAAACCTACTGAAATAGACGTACTTGTTTTTAATAGGATGTCTACATCTGACAACAGATGTTGCATAAAGATTTGCTGACTTGGAATTAAATGTTAAGTCCCTGTTTGCTTAAAATGTATTATGCTGAGCTTGGTTTTCTTATGAAAACATTGCATGATGTGCTAAAGGTATCCGGACAATAATTACTTTTAAATGCTTCTCGTTTTTGAAGCATGAGAAAAAGTAGATAATCCACTGGTGATACAGTAAAACACAGACTTAATGTTTTTAAACTAGGGTTCTATTTCCAATGCATTAAACATAATGGGGGGGGGTGTCACAGAAAAGAACCTAAATTTCAAATAACAGCTTTCTTCTGCTACTTCATTGTATATTTTGAAAATGAAAGGGTTTCCACATATTTAGAATCACAGAGAAAGCTGATTGTATCTGGGCCATCAAGTAAGGAACATCTTACAAAAGCACATCGCCCAATATTAGATCCGGTGACTTATACCACTGGTTGTAAGAAATCACTTAGTTATATCCAGAGTATGTGATAACCTTTGTGTTTACCTAAAAATTGAAACGATTTTCTAGATCGAAAAATTAAATCAATTTTAATTGAATATTTCAGTAATATATATGGCAGTATTTTATAATCAACACCTGTTTCTATGAAGTTGCATTGTTATATCATGCTAGTTTGACAAAGTTCTAGTTTTCAAGAGAAACTGAACGGAAAGTGGCATACCATGTCAGCGGGATTGCTTACCTTGGATTTAAAGATTCCTCGGCAGTAGTGCCAGATCTGAGTATTCTTTCCACTGTAGGGAGAAATGCACACCGATGTTGCCCTGGTATCTGCTAGATTTCCAGTGACTGTCAGATACTCATCCATGGCACGGTTCTTTATTCTGATGTACACGGCAGGCTATGACAAGGGAGAAATAGCCATTTAGAAACAAACGTTTGAATCTGGAAATGAATCTTTCTAGACGAGGAAAGCTGTGAGGGAAAGTGAGAAATAACTATCTTAGTTATATCAGTTTCACTCTTATTCCCTTTCATAAATGTACATACATTAATATCGTAAATTCTTAGGCCGTGGACCACAAAGCTTAAATTGTACAATCTCTCTTACACTTTTTCAAAAGTGCCCTTTTGAATGACATAAAGTCAAAGTTTCTTTCATTAGAATCCCATGTGGCGAGGAGTGGGGCGGTAAAGAATTCGGGACTTGATGAATTTCGCTCAATAACTAGTGTGTCCCAGCTGTGCTGAGGGAGGTAGGGGAGTTAGATTAGGGGTAAGGTATTACCTACGAGGATTTTATAAAACTTCAGAAAGACAAGTATAATCACACATACTGTGAGGCTATGCCTAAATGCTGGAAGTTGGCTCTGGGAGGTCTTGAAAAGCCCAGACGGCGGAGGGCCCTCGTAGCTGTAGCTGTGATTACTCTGTTTACATAAGACCTTTATAGTTCTTCAAAAGTAGAGACCATAAATGTTTAGTGACTATACTCAGGTATCCAAAAATTGAGTAACAAAAGACTTCATCTTCTTGGCCTGGAAGCTTTAAGATACATTCAAAAAGTTTTACAATATTAAACCTGGGACCTGCCTCTAAGAAGAAGAGCTAATATTTATTGTACACACAGTATGTGTGAGCAGCACGCTAAATGTGTTCTGTGCCGTTAGTTATTTGTCAGAATAACCATAAAAACCTTTTAAGAAAGTACAGTTATGACCCTAGTTTTGCAAATAAGGTGAACACAGATGTAAAGAAGCCATATTCCTCTTAATCAGGATGCTCTCAGACCTATGTTGAAATGCAACAGTTGCTCTTAGGCACAGGGAATAAAAGACATTTGCAAAGGTGGAGGTGTAAGACAATGAAAGGGCAGGGCACATAATCGAAGCACAACAGAAGCCATTATTTCAGCCCTACGACTTAGGCCCCCAGCCTTAATGTAATATAATACAGGACACCCAACATCGCCACCTTTGGTTGTCTCATTGGCATCCCAATTAGAACCTTGGCTGAGTAATAACAACAAATGGTCTCTTCAGAGAGCGCTTTCCTGCCAAAAAACCTAAGTGCTAGGTAAATGCAATATGGTCATATGGTAAGAACACCAATGAACAGTCTACTGTTTTTGAAACTTTTGATAGATCAACATGAGGCCAACAGAATTTTGGTAAGTAAGGCTTCCTAAGGAAACACACATTCTCAGCACTTAAATAAGCCAATAGAAGAACAAATTATCCGGCCATTTAAAGTAGGTGAACAAGACCTCTACTTGGCAAAATGTTTTAAATGTTTCAAGTCTCTACTTCCAACATTAACAGTGCAGCAGTACCATACTTAAATGTCTGTAACTCAGCCTGATCTCCCACTGCAATTACTAATTCTTGAGACTTCAGTATATTTTTATTACATTTTCATTACCTTGTACATATAAGAAAACAGGCATGATCTTCACAGATGACAGAGTTCCAATTACTTTAGGACCAAACATTTTAATCAATTAACTCAAGCAAGGTACTAATTACCCTTATTACACCTTTGCAGTCTGAATCTTCTGTAATTATACTTAAAAACACTGATATTCATTGTAAGTACCTTAGTGACTTCCTAACTCCCAGCTTCAAAGAGGATCACATTTTAATTAGTCCTGAATTTCTAAACAAGAATATGAACTAAAGCAGTACCAATAATCTTACCACAACTTTAAATGTGACCCACAAACTACTGTTTTAGGAACTCAGAATTCCTTTGTTGCATTTCAAAACTGTGACCTAAATAAACAGGAAAAATCTATTAAAATATTATTTTGAAATTAAATGGTTAATCAGAATAGGAATCACGTAGCTCCTAAAGCACAATGAAAGAAAACAGCATACAATTCTGGTTAAAAAAAAAAAAAACTTCCTTGTGAGAGTAGAGGTGGCTTTTTTTTATTGTACTTTAGGTTCTGGGGTGCATGTGCAGATCATGCTGGATTGTTGGATAGGTACACGCATGGCAATGTGGTTTGCTGCCTCCATCCCCCACATCACCTACATCTGGCATTTCTCCCCATGTTATCCCTCCCCCACATCCCCACCCCAACAATGTCCCTACCTTGGCCGCCCGCAACAGACCCCAGTGTGTCATGCTTCCCTCCGTGTCCATGTGTTCTCATTCAACACCTGCCTATGAGTGAAAACGTGGTGTTTGATTTTCTGTTCTTGTGTCAGTTTGCTGAGAATGATGGTTTCCAGATTCATCCATGTCCCTATAAAGGGCACAAATTCATCATTTTTTATGGCTGCATAGTATTCCATGGTGTATATGTGCCACATTTTCCCTGTCCAGTCTCTCATCGATGGGCATTTGGGTTGGTTCCAGGTCTTTGTTATTGTAAACAGTGCTGCTGTGAACATACATGTGCATGTGTCTTTATAATAGAATTATTTATAATCCTTTGGGTATAAACCCAGTAATGGGATTGCTGGGTCAAATGGGATTTCTATTTCTAGGTCCTTAGGAAGCACCACATTGTCTTCCAACAATGGTTGAACTAGTTTCACCAACAGTGTAAAAGTGTTCCTATTTCTCCACATCCTCTCCAGCATCTGTTGTCTCCAGATTTTTAAATGATCGCCATTCTAACTGGCGTGAGATGGTATCTCAATGTGGTTTTGATTTTCATTTCTCTAATAATCAGTGATGATGAGCATTTTTTCATATGTTTGTTGGCCTCATGTATGTCTTCTTTTGTAAAGTGTCTGTTCATATCCTTCGCCCACTTTTGGATGGGTCTGTTTTTTTCTTGTAAATCTGTTTTAGTTCTTTCTAGATTCTGGATATTAGCCCTTAGTCAGATAGGTAGATTGCAAAAAATTTTTTCCCATTCTGTTTGTTGCTGGTTCACTCTAATGATTGTTTCTTTGGCTGTACAGAAGCTCTGGAGTTTAATTAGGTCTTATTTGCTATTTTGGCTTTTGTTGCCAATGCTTTTGGTGTTTTAGTCATGAAGTCCTTGCCTATCCCTATGTCCTGAATGGTTTTGCCTAGATTTTCTTCTAGGGTTTTTATGGTGTTAGGTCTTATGTTTACGTCTTTAATCCATCTGGAGTTAATTTTAGTGTAAGGTGTCAGGAAGAGGTCCAATTTCTGCTTTCTGCACATGGCTAGCTAGTTTTCCCAACACCATTTATTGAACAGGGAATCCTTTCCCCATTGCTTGTTTTTGTCAGGTTTGTCAAAGATTGGATGGTTGTAGATGTGTGGTGTTGCCTCCAGGGCCTCTGTTCTGTTTCACTGGTCTGTATCTGTTGTGGTACCAGTACCATGTTGTTTTGATTACTGTAGCCTTGTAGTTTAGTTTGAAATCAGGTAGCATGATGCCTCTGGCTTTGTTCTTTTTGCTTAGGATTGTCTTGGCTATGTGGGCTCTCTTTTGGTTCCATATGAAGTTTAAGGTGTTTTTTTCCAGTTTTGTGAAGAAGGTCATTTGTAGCTTGATGGGGATAGTGCTGCATCTGTCAATTACTTTGGGCAGTCTGGCCATTTTCATGATATTCATTCTTCCTAACCATGAGCATGGAATGTTTTTCCATCTGTTTGTGTCCTCTCTTATTTCCTTGACCAGTGGTTTCAATTCTCCTTGAAGAGGTCCTTTACGTCCTTTGTTAGTTGTATTCCTATTTTATTCTCTTTGCAGCATTTGTGAATGGCAGTTCGTTCTTGATTTGGCTCTCTGTTAGTATTGGTGTATAAAAATGCTTGATTTCTGCACATTGATTTTGTATCCTGAGACTTTGCTGAAGTTGCTCATCAGTTTAAGGAGATTTTGGGCTGAGATGATAGGGTCTTCTAAATATACAGTCATGTCATCTGCATGTAGAGACAATTTGATTTCCTCTTTTCCTAATTGAATACCTTTATTTTTTTTTTCCTGCCTAATTGCTCTGGCTAGAACTTCCAATATCATATTGAATAGAAGTGGTGAGAGAGGGCATCCTTGTCTAGTGCTGGATTTCAAAGGGAATGCTTCCAGTTTTTGCCCATTCTGTATGATATTGGCTGTAGGTTTGTCATAAATAGCTTTTATTATTTTGAGATATGTTCCTTTGATACCTAGTTTATTGAGAGTTTTTAGCATAAAGCGCTGCTGAATTTTGTTGAAGGCCTTCTCTGCATCTATTGAGATAATCATGTGGTTTTTGTCTTTGGTTCTGTTTATGTGGTGGATTACATTTATAGACTTGCGTATGTTGAACCAGCCTTGCATCCCTGGAATGAAGCCTACTTGATCGTGATGGATAAGCTTTTTGATGTGCTGTTGATTTCTCAGGATTTTATTGAAGATTTTTGCATCTATGTTCATCATGGATATTGACCCGAAGTTTTCTTTTTTGGTTGAGTCTCTGCCGGGTTTTGGTATCAGGATGATGTTGGTCTCATAAAATGATTTGGGAAGGATTCCCTCTTTTTGTATTGTTTGGAATAGTTTCAGAAGGAGTGGTATCAGCTCCTCTTTGTATGTCTGGTAGAACTCGGCTGTGAATCTGTCTGGACCTGGACTTTTTTTGGTTGGTAGTCTATAAATTGCTGCCTCAACTTCAGCCCTTGTTACTGGTCTGTTCAAGGTTTCAACTTCTTCCTGGTTTAGGCTTGGGAGGATGGAAGTGTCCAGGAGTTTATCCATTTCTTCCAGGTTTACTGGTTTATGTCCATAGAGTTGTTTGTAGTAATCTCTGATTGTAGTTTGTATTTCTGTGGAATCAGTGGTGATATCCCCTTATCATTTTTTATTGCATCTATTTGATTCTTCTCCCTTTTCTTTTTTATTAATCTGGCTAGTGATCTATTTTGTTGATTTTTTCAAAAAACCAGCTACTGGATTTATTGATTTTTTTGAAGGGTTTTTTTGTCTCTATCTCCTTCAGTTCTTCTCTGATCTTAGTTATTTCTTGTCTTCTGCTAGCTTTTGAGTTTTTTGATCTTGCTCCTCTAGCTCTTTCAATTTTGATGATAGTGTGTCGATTTTAGATCTTTCCTTGCTTCTCATGTGGGCGTTTATTGTTACAAATACCCCTTTAGACACTGCTTTAAATGCGTCCCAGAGATTCTGGTATGATGTGTCTTTGTTCTCGTTGGTTTCAAAGAACATCTTTATTTCCACCCTCATTTCATTGTTTGTCCAGTCAACTTTCAGGAGCCAGTTGTTCAGCTTCCATGAAGCTGTGTGGTTCTGAGTTAGTCTTAATTCTGAGTTCTAATTTGATTGCCCTGTGGTCTGAGAGACTGTTTGTTATGATTTCCCTTCATAAAGCAAGTTCTTAATGACCTACAGAGAGACTTAGACTACCATACAATAATATTGGGAGACTTTAACACTCCACTGTCAGTATTAGAGAGATCAACGAGACAGAAAATTAACAAGGATATCCAGGACTCGAACTCAGATCTGGACCAAGCAGACCTAACAGACATCTACAGAAATCTCTACCTGAAATCCATGGAATATACATTCTTCTCAGTACCGCATGGCACCTACTCTAAAATTGACCACGTAATTGGAAGTAAATCACTCCTCAGCAAATGCAAAGGAGGTGGCTGTTTTACCCTTTACCACAGAATCTTGAACAATAGGCAGGGACATCCTTCTTCCCTAACAAGCAACCACCATTCAAAAATGAGGAACATATTTTCAGTGTTGAACTTGGCTACTAAAGTCTCTGACAACAGAGGGTCAGCAGTATTATGTAGTTAGTAAAGGCTACACTGAATTCCTACCTCTACTTTGCTTTTTCCAATGGCTTTTCAGTGGGCTTACTCCCCATCCCACATGATAGGAGTAGGAAATAAGCAAGATGTAAGAAAAGGTCATGAGATTCTGTACCACACACTCTCTGCCAGGAAAGCCACTGATGTTCAGAATCCTTCAAATGAGCATCTCTGATTCTTTCAAGGGACATTGTGAATTTAAAAAAAACTTTCAAAATGAGTGTATTACCACAGTAATATGAGCCAGTGCCATATTAGACTGTTTATATACATTATCTTATTCAACTGTCACAGCAATGAGATGTAAGCAGTGTGATCACTGCTTCACCAGTGAGAAAGCTGAGGTGCCAAAAAATGAAGTGACTCACCAAGTTGCACTGCTTACAAATGGCAGAGCCAGGATTTGAACCAACAGAACTCACAAGTGGTGGGATGAGCATGGTGTGTGCGCACGTGTGCATGTGAAGAGGGCTAGAGAAGACCACTTAGGTTAATATTTTATTGCGACCATTTATTTTACATTTAAGTAAGGGTTAAATAAGTGTTAGGTCAGAACATTGGCACCAGCATTTAGATCCACTAGGCTATATTCAGCTCAGTGCCTGAAATAGGTGGTACTCTCTAAGTGCTGATCTTAGGCTGACTGAGAGGGGAGTGTGGTTGCTTAAGAACACAGATTTTAAAGCATACTAGATTTGGGTTCAAATCCTGGTTCTGACACTTGGATGACTTTTGTCAATGTACTTTTATTGACAGCTAGGAATCATTATCCCCATTTTCTAGTTGGAATTATGTTCTCTCAGAGCCTTATTATTCCAACTAGAAAATGGGAATAATAATTCCTGCCTCAAAGGACTATTGTTGGAATCAAGCGAGAAAGTGTTCTAAAGAGATTAAGGAGAGGTACCAATGGCATATCCGCAGGCTGTCACACCCGACAGGCTCACGTAAGCTTTCCACCTTCCATAAAACCTCCTCACTACTACACATGTTGATACTTCCCTTCTCTGAACCAGGGACGGCCTGTGGCTTTGGATAATTATGCGTTGTTCTGCATTTCATGTTACTGCTTTGAGTTGGACACGTTTGGCCCAACAAATTGTAAGTTCCAATAATATTGGCAGAAATCACATCTATCTTTATATTTTCCATTATACTTTGCATAATACCATTGATCCATCCACGAATATATATTCATGCTTTCATTAAACAAATAGGTCCTGAGCACCTACAATATTCCAGACATTGCTTCAGGCACTAGGGGTGGGGCAATGAGCAAAACATGCACAGCCCCTGGCTTCACAGGGTCTTCTCTAGAGTGGGAAAGACGCTGATCCAGCCATAATGCTATGGCTATAAACTGCATACAGTGTTTTTGTAGAAAAAGAACCCCCAGGTCTTTTATGACCTAATTTAGATTGGGAGAGAAGGTGGGGGAGGCATTCTTGAAGGCCTGACACTTAAGTAGAATTTACAGGGATGACTACTCAAAAAATGAGGAAGAACACTACAGAGGGCGCAGCCCATGTTAAAAGTCTTAGTGGGAAAGCAACTCTGTACTTTGATGCATGTGACAGCCACGTGAGAGATGAGGTTGGAGAAGCAAGGGCGGGTGGAGGGTATATGGTATTCTAAGTGCAGTGGGAAGCTTTTGAACAGAAGACTGACAAGCAGTAGGTGTGCAATAAATACTATTTTAATTAAATTGCCAGGATCCATCCTGAGTATTATATAAGTAGGAAGGGGAATATCCAAATGCTTAGAAAGTAAAACTAAGTTCATTCCTGTTACCAAGGTTTACAGAACTGACAATATCTTAGTTTTCCATGAAAGGAAACATGGCCAAAGAGGCTTTGGACTGAAAACTGAAACCCAATGTTGAGTTTAGATACAATCTTACAAATTGGTCAAAATGTACAAGATATCCCCATCCTAATTCACTCCCCCTATCGTGTAAATGGAAAGCTAAATTAAATGGTCATTACTTCAGATGCTGTGGTTTATGATGTTTCTACCACAAAGGCAAGCTATTTGGAGTCTTACGGTTCTTTTCTCCTTACCTGCTTCATAGGACGGAGGGAACCAATTGTCTTCCATCTGCTGAATGCTGTCCAGTTTGGGATCTCATTAGGCCCTAGTAGGATTTGTCTTCCCAAGAAATTGGATCCTTCATAAGCTATCCATCTATGAGAACAAGAAAGAAAAAAGTAGTGTACTTCAAAACAAAAAAGCAATACCTCATCAAAACTATCTGCACTTTGCCTTATAGGGTTCATAAACTTGTAGGTTTGCAGGTTTTTTAAACTGCACATTGTTTCCTAACAAAAATCAGGGAGGTGTGGAAAGCCCACTGGCCTAGACTCAGAATATTTGGATTCCAATTACAATGCTGGTTTCCTTTCTTCCACAATGAATGCAAGGTTTCCTCCATCTCTGAAAGTCCATATTCCTCTGAAAACAGTTTTGTCAGAGCATTTAACATTCAAAGGCAGACCATAACCTCCTGTTAACCAGCAGAAAAACACTCTTCTGCCCCTATAGTCATCATCCTGTGTCCTTCAGGGCCCTCGGTGCGGCTCCAGTAAGCTCTCCCGACATACCTTCTTCCACTCCTCCCTGCACAGCTTCTCTGAAGCCACCAAGGACTAAGAATTGTCAGCAGAAGTTCCCTATCACACTCTTACTTCAAGGCCCAGCTCTTTGAAAATCCTCCCCCAAACCCTTGCCTTCAACTCTGGCTGCATTTAAGTGTGTAGAAGTACACTGGAGGCGTGTCTGGAGTCTCAAGACTTACTTAAGGGGACACGTCATGCCGACTGCTCTAAGGATTGGCTACGGCTGCTCTTGTACTACCATAGCAGACAGAAGACCCGCAAACGGAAAAGACTGTCTGGCCCTTGACAGAGACAGTTTGCCGAGCACCACTTTAGGTGGTTACTAAGCTTGATGAGTAATGCGCTGGAGTCACTAAGAGGACCTGAAATTCTCAACAGGACCGACTCAAGGTCCGTGAACACAGTGCTTTAAGCAAGTGTGTGGTGGAGGAAGGATGAGGGGGCTGCCTTGCTTTGTTTTGCTAAGGCACCTGGAATTGTGGCAGAGGCTGCCCTGGCTTGCACCAAGGGAGGCATGACCCTGTGGGTGAGGCAGGGAGCACAGCAGCAAGCAAGGCAGTCTGTAGTCAGATGAACCAGAGCTCAGGAGCAGTGCCATCCGGGGCTTAGGACAAGCTACAAAGGGTTACTTGCGCTGCTATGGCAGCAACTTCAGCCCCTCGATTTTACAGATAAAAACTTCTAAAACTTACAAGTGCAATATTCCTGAGGGACTAGTACTTCAGGTAACGCAGGAAAAATACCAACTTGTGCATAAGTTGTGGGGAGAAGGGAAGAGCTGAGGAAAGCTTGGGGAGAGATGACTCAACCTGACCACCGCTACGAAGAGTTCTCCTTGCTCCCACAGCTGGGATCAGAGTTGGCCAAATTATGGAGAGATGAACGATGAACGGCCCATTCTTGACCCCATCCTTGCCTACACAAATCTAAAAAAGCAGACGGTGCAAGAGGCAGGTCAGCATGACCACGGACAGGCTTAGCCGCCTCTCCAGCCGCAGATTCTTTAAACAGGGAAGTTTTCGGTTATAAAATCTAGGCAAAATTTTAGGCAAATGTACCTAATTATTTATTGACTGAAATGAATTCCACAGTTGGAAAACTGTGTGGGATGGTACATTTAAGCATGGCAGTCATCATCGCAGTTCAAAGATGTGGCGGCATAGCATGGGGATTGAAATAAACCAAACCCAACTTGTCACTAAGGGAAGTGAGCTGTACATTAACTAGCATCCTGTAGCCTAGGGAAATCCTTAGGCAGCCTTCACTGTTCTCTTAAAGACAGTTTGGAATAGTAAGAGTAGGTGGCTAATAAGCCAAAGAGAAGAACTAAGACAGTCAAGATAAAATGGCACCAGTATTCCAGATAAAAATAAGAAAGGAGTTTTCAGGAGTGAGTCAAATATCAGTTTCACTCAGAAGTGTAAAGGAAAGAAATGTATTAAAATGTTGTGAAAGATCTATATCACAGGGATGTAAAATTCAGTTCAAATGGATTTAGTTAATTGGTAAATAATATATTGGAATCTTATGCTTAGATAGAATAAATCAATTTGTTTGAATAAACGTCAAACCATTTAAAATGCTCTGCAGAAGAAAATTTAAGCTATTATACACGTGTGGAATATAAAAGCCATTTATTGTAATAGTTTAATTTTCAACTCCACTTAAATTACTGGCTTTTTCTTTCTTTATTCCCAGTTACTTAAACAAGCAGAGCTGATTATCACAGAATTTCAAAGCCACAGAAAAACTTTTAAAGCCATTTTTGTATTAATCATCACGAGTTACATGTGTTGTTTTACTTGATGTTTGGTACCAGAACACTAACAGGGCAGGAGTAGGGGCTACTCCATATGCCAGATGCTTCAGAGGCATATTTTCCAGGAAGCAAACAGAGCTTCAACTTCAAGGCCCCTCACTTGCAGGCTTCTCACCATTTCTGTCCTAAATATTCACATTCAGACCTAATATTTGTATCACAATTTTAATTTTTTTCTAAAGGCAGCTTTCTAATTTTTAAAAGCACAGACCCATGGATCTATCCTGACTATTAACAATGAAAAACAGTCGGCAGGTAGGCAGGCTAGGTCAACCAGTGCAGTCCACAGAAGAGTGAGTACCCTGGAGGGAACTGCTCTAGAATACACAAGCTATTAAATCAAAAAACACCACCACACTTTGTCTTGCCGGCAGTCACCTGCCCAAGTAGGAAATTGTCTTAACCAAAGTTGATGAGATATTGAAATTTCTTCTGAAAAGAAAAGTCGGTTCAACTGGGTAAAGGCATCTGATTGACCTACTCTATGACATACGCTGTGATCATCTGTGGTTGTCCTTCTCTCCCAAAGCGCTCTTCGTCACGACCCCCTGAATGTTTGCAACTGTGCAGCTCTGTCTGAAACCAGTGACTGAACCAGACCAAGCCTTTCTCCCATACTTACAGTCCACTTTTTACCCACACAGACTGGGTGTAGAAGTGCAGGTCCTTGTTCAGAACAGAGTTCACAGCCTCTTCTAGATGTAACTCTCTTCCCTCACAATGTTCCAGGGCAAAAAGGCTGATGGAGGGTTCCTCGAAAACCTATGAGCACAGGAAGAAAGACCATCATGCAGAGTGGCCATACTTCAGTGACGTCCCAGTCTGAACACTGGGTACCCTGGACCCACTGTATTCTCAAATGCATGGAGTTTACTGCTCTACTCTAAGGTCGCTACAGTCAAAACTTCACTGGAAAGGTTTGATTCTATTAATAATTTTTACTCAATTTTTTTAAAATTAAAATTCAAGTTATCAGACAAGCAATCAATCTCATAATAAAAACAGACATGATAAAAAGAGACCCATGATTCCAAATCACATATTAAGGTCTTGTGGGACTGTAATATGAACCATAATTAGTCCTGCCAATCCTTTTAGCTGGAATGGAATAGCACCCTCATTTCTAGGAGGTCACAGGAGCAGTCACTGGGAATGCAAGACTTTGTGGTGGTAAGCTCTTATAATATTCCTAGGAGGAAGAATAAAGGCATTTTTAATGTAAAAAATAGCTGAAATGCACAAGAATGGTGATTTCTGTGTTGAAAGTATTTCTTCAACCCATCATGTCATGAAAGAATAGACTCAATATTGTTCTTTTTCATTCATTACAAGACACCACGTTAAGAGACTTTTGAGGGGATGGCAAGACAAGGCACCATCTATCCTTGTGTCTGGGGCATTACTAACGAGTAGCTAAATTAGAACTGCACAGACATTGAAATGTAATCCAGCACCGAAAAAGATATGCTGTGTGAGAGTCCTCAGTAGAAAGCTGGATTATTTTTAGCAGAAGGGAGCAGGAATCAAGGAAGCTTCACGGATGTGATGGCTTGTGAGCGCAGTCTCAAAGGATGCAGTGGATCTGGAAGGAAGATGATGAACAAAGGGGAAGCACTCCGTGCAAAGCAAGGCAACAAACACATGGGACATGCTGGAGGAACAGCAAGTTAGCCCAACAGGAAACAGCCGCAAGTGCTCCCACAGTTTGTTGTGTGAATTGCACTGCCTGCTCCTCCTCCCACACTGAAGGGGAGACAGATCTACTCCCAGTGGAGAGTCCCTGAAGGCTTCTGAACTAAGGACTAAGAGTGGGCTGAAGCAACTGCAACTCAGTACATAAGAAGCAAAGCACTAACAGTAAATGAACAGGCAGAAAATAGCGGGCTCTCACAGTGACCCTCACAAGTGACCTGCTTATACTTGCATCAGAGCAGAATGACTTATCAAAGAACAGTGAAGGACAGGGAATGATTTAAATGCCCATCAAGAGAGAACTGGTTACATAAATTATGGTGCATGCACAGAAGAATCTTATACAGCTGTAAAAAAGAATGAGGAGCTCTTTGTGAAAGATCACCAAGATATATTCTTTAGAAATACACACAAAGGATATATAAAAAGCATATTTCATATACTACCATTTGCAGAAAAGGAAGATTTCTGTGCATATAACATATATATGGGCTTGTACACAAACATTTTTCTGAAAAATACAAAATAAAACTGGTAACCATGTCTACCTGCTGGGAAGACTGCACGAGAGAAGATAAAGGGCACAAATGGGAGCACAGTTTCTTCACTAAGTGCCTTTTGAACCATGGGAATATTTATTTTAAATTGGCATTATTAATTTTAAGTTGGTAATTATTACGCATGTTTGCATTGTGTATATGTATTTTTTAATGACCTTCAGGAAATCTGTCTGGCAGCAACGTACGTGAAGAATAGAAAGAATGGAAGTAACAGCACCAGTACTGGGAGAATATTTGAGGTCAAAGAAAAATAGTTCCAGACCTAAAGCAGAGGTCAGAGGGAAGGTTAGGAGTAAGGGATGGCCAGGAGAACTATTAATATCACAGTGATAAAACAGACCTGCTAGCTAAGGCCAACAAATGGAATCAGGAAAAATGTGAAAAGTCACCGTTTGGGACATGCTGGTATAATGTGTCGTATATAAAGAAATATGGAAAAAAAGCATGCCCAGATGTCTTAATGTTGAGAGGGAGGCAGGATAATCTTAACAGAGACGTCCAACACACACTGGACCTTTTGATCTGGAGTTCAGGGAAAAGACCAGATTTAGAGATGTTGAATTTGGGAATTCTCAGAATCTGGGTAATACTAGAGCCACAGGTAACAAAATGGAAATGTAAGGAAACGAGAACTGCACTGACATACACAGCAGGCGATGATGAAAGATGGGAGGCGGAAGTGACCGAACAAATGAATCAGGAGAACACAGCCAAAACAGAACCCCTTTATACTGTAGAAGTGAAGGAGGAAAAGAATGATAAGGAAGACCTCCCCCACGGCATCAAATTCTTTCCATGCCAAAGAAAAAGGTGACTGAGATAGGGCTGTTTGGGTTTAACAATCAGAAGGCAGCTGGTAACCCTTATGAGCGCCGTTTCGGCACCATGTCGGAAATGAAGTTAAAAGCTAGGTTATAAGGGCTGGAGAGTAAGTAGTGAAAAACTGTACAGGCTATAATAGGTGTACAGACTATTTACTAGAAAAATTTGGCGGAGAGCAGGAGGGAAACAGGGTAGTGGCCTATGAGCCTGCTTTGTGGAAGGCAGTAGTGGAATAGAGAGAAGCTGAATAATGCAAGGCAGAAAGGATGTTCCAGGGAAGGAGGGAGAGGTACGATCCATTGCTTCCCGTCAGTTTATGAGCAAAAAGATCACTTTGGAGAGGATGAACTCCTCCTCTAAAATAAAAGGAAAGTTAGAAAAAGGATGCCAAAAAATTTCCATTTAAAATCGGGAAAGGTGTGAGAAGTTCCTGCAGTGACAGAAATGTTGTGTATCTGCACTCTCCGATATGATGGCCACTAGCCACATGTGACCTGTGTGACCAAGGGACTGAATTAATTTAATTTAAATAACCACAGGTGGCTAGTGCTATGGTGTTGGATACTACAGATTTAGGGGTTAGAGGATACTGGCAAAGAATGTAACAATTGCTGTGTGCAGTAAGACCATAAGCTAAGATGGAAAGGCTACCTAGGAGCATTGATTTTCCCTCAGTAGACAACACTGACTGCACCAGGAATAAAAACTCATCTGTAATCACTGACTTATTAAGTGGCCACAGGCAAGGTTAGCCACCTCTTTTGCTATCTGCAAAATAAAATGGAAGCATCCCAACAGTTTATAAAATAAACTGAAAGTAAGCACACAATAAAATCCATTGCCCTGACTATATGGTGGATTGTTTTCAACATCTTCACCCTGAAGATTTTTAGAAAGCATTCCACCTTAAGTTTTAACACACATTTCCTTGTTGAGTTGCTGATTAGTGAGGAAGAGCAGATGGTAAGGAGCCTGGCCAGGGCTCCAAGTCAACAATCAGCAGCACTCTCCCAGAGAAAAGCTTGCTGGGGTAAGAGCAACAGACATCGACATCAAAGGCGTTTACTGCTCACATGATGTTAACTGTTTTATATCCCAGAGGAGGAAAATATTTAAAAGCCTTTTATGAGAGTGTAATTTTAATGCTAAGCATTGTTCTAAGAAAAACAGATCTGTGTACATTTTTCCTCTTCCTTTTGCAGAATGCCCACAAAGATATTTTTCAAAAGGTTGGCATTGTCACTGAAACTCCCTTAAATTTGATCCCTTGATTCTAGCAATTCTACCTCTAGAAATGTATCTCAAGGAAAGATGAAAAGTTTGATGGAGGGAACCTCTATGTTTTTAAAAATAATGATCCAGGTATATTGAGGGAAAAAAAACGTGTAAGATGACAGGCAATATTTTAAACATTTTAACAGTTTATATAAATTAGTCAGGCTCTAAGAGACCTGTTGGACAAATGGTCAAAGAAAGTAAGCCAACAGCATTAACCAAAGAAGAGATACGACTAATAAATCAATGTGGAAAAATATCCCACCTCTCTACTAACAACAAAAGGATATTACTATGTGGTCCAATTACCAAATTTTACATTTGAGAACATCTATTGTTTTGAAGCTTTGATTTTTTTTCTACTTTAAATTACTTTAATTAATTTATAAATATACTTGAATTATAAATGTATTTAAAGGTTAGGAAGATTAGGAAGGTCAACACAGTGCTAATCTGGACAGGATGATGGGGGGTGGTTAATAATCTTTTGGAAAAAAAGGGTGCTAAGGAACTATTAACATCTTAAAATCATATTTTTCTGATACATTTCCCTAACATGAGAATAGGAAGAGAGATAAACTATTAATAAGTCTTTAAAACTGAAGATGACACAGTAATCTGAACTTTCCAAACATAAAAAAACTCCAAAATTTGATTACAGTTGATTACAGTTCTACAAATGTCTTGGCTTTGGTCCATGTTAACTTAGAAGCTGGCCAACCATTTGTGGCTAAAGGCTCTTCTTAGATGTCAGCAGTTAACAAGACATTCCTGCTGGATTAAGTCTAAATCATGCAAAGAGGAAACAGTTTCTAAAAAAAAGATGTGGTTGTGAAAGAAAAAGAATACTTGACCAAATTGTATAAATGAAAATTTCAATAAGAAAAAAGACAAAACTCGTTGTTCCTCCTCATCCCATCAACTAAAATAATAATTTAAGTGACAAAAACAGTAGAAATTAACATATATAGCACTTAATATGTGCTGGAAATTATTGATCTAAGTTATATATCTATATCTCTATCTATCCATAGATATATATGCTCAATACCAATTCATTTTTCTTTAATCCAAAAAGCTTTAAAATCAAAATTTTTTTCCTAGTCAACAAAACTCAACCTGAATAAATTGAAGTCTATTTATAATATTATCCAATTTGTGCAGCTGTGCATAACTTTCACTATAGGAATAGAAATATGCTTAATTAGGGTACAGCCCAGAATCCTGCTGGGCACGCTTCCTTATGGGCCATAGATGAATCATATTACTGATTAAAATTTGAAAAACTTTAAATCCCAAAATACATTGTTTAGGGATTGTAGAACTGTGTTTTCTCATTTATTTTTTCCTACCAACTTTTATTTTCTGTTCTGGAGTATATGTGCAGGGTTGTTACATGGATAAATTGCATGTCATAGGGGTTTCATAGATGATTTCATCACCCAGGTAACGAGCATAGCACCCAATAGGTAGTATTTCGATCCTCACCCCCCTCCCACCTCTCTGTTCAAGCAGGCCCTGGTGTTTATTTTTCCCTTAACAGTGTCCATGTGTATTTAACGTTAATCTTCCACTTATAAGCGAAAACATGCCATATTTGGTTTTCTGTTCTTGTGTTAATATGCTTCAGATAATGGCCCCCAGCTGCATCCGTGTTGCTGCAAAGAACATGATATCTGCTTTTTTATGGCTGTGTGGCATTCCATGGTGGCTATGTACCACATTTTCTTTATCCAATCCAACACTGATGGGCATTTAGGATGATTTCATGTCTTTGCTATTGTGAATAGTGCTGCCCTGAATATATATGTGCATGTGTCTTTATGATAGAATGACTTATATTCCTTTGAGTATATACCTGGTAATGGAATTTCTGGGTCAAATGGTAGTTCTAAGTTCTTTGAGAAGTCTCCAAACTGCTTTCCACAACAGATGAACTAAAGCACATTCCCAAAACAGTGTAAACATTCCATTTTCTCCACAATCTCACTAGCATCTGTTATTTGTTGACTTTTTAGTAACAGCCATTTGGACTTGTATGAGATAGTATCTCACTGTGGATCTGATTTGCATCCCTCTACTGATTAGGGATGTTGAGCATTTTTTCATGCTTGTTGGTCATATGTATATCTTCTTTTGAGAAGTGTCTGTTCATGTCCTTTGCCCACTGTTTAATGAGGTTGTTTTTTTTGCTTGTTGCTTTGTTCCTTATTTATTAGACTTTTGTTGAATGCATGGTTTGGGAGTATCGTCTCCCATTCTGGAGATTGTTTACTTTGTTGATAAGTTTCTTTTGCTGTGCAGAAGCACTTTAATTAGGTCCCATTTGTCAGTTTTTGCTTTTGTTGTACAGTAATTGCTTTTGGAGGTCTCCTCATAAAATCTTTGCCAGGGCCTATGTCCAGAATGGTATTTCCTAGGTTTTCTTCTGGAGTTTTAACACTTTTAGGTTTTACATCTGAGTCTTTAATCCATCTTGAGTTGTGTTTTGCATATGGTGAAGGTAGGGGGTTCAGTTTCAATGTTATGCATAATGACTAGCCAATTATTCCAGCACCATTTAGTGATAGGGAGTCCTTTCCCCACTATTTGTTCTTGTCAGCTCTGTCAATGATCAAATTTTTGTAGATGTGGGGCTTTATTTCTGAGTTATCCAGCCTTTTCCGTTGGCCTGTGTGCCTGTTTTTGTACCAGTACCATGCTGTTTTGGTTACTGCAGCCTTGTAATATAGTTTGAAGTTGGGTGGCATGATGCTTCCAGCTTTGTTCTTTTTGCTTAGGATTGTGTTTGCTATTTGGGCTTTTTTGGTTCCATGTGAATTTTAGAATAATTTTACCAAATTCTGTCAAAAAATGTTGGTACTTTGATAGGAACAGTATTAAATCTATAAATATCATTGGGCAGTATGGCCATTTTAATGACATTTATTCTTCTTTGATTCTTCCTATCCATGAGCATGGAGTGTTTCCCTTTGTTTGTGTTGTCTCTGAGTTCTTTCAGCTGTGTTCTGTAATTTTCATTGTAGTGATCTTTCACCTCCTTGGTGAATGGAATTGCTTTCTTGATTTGGCTCTCAGCTTGAACATTACTGGTATATAGAAATGCTACTGACTTTTCTACATTGATTTTGTATCCTGAAGCATTACTGAAGTTAATTATCAAATCTAGGATCCTTTGGGCAGAGACTATGGGGTTCTCTAAGAATAGAATCATATCATTTGTGAAGAAAGATAGCTTGACTCCCTCTTTTCCTATTTGGATGCTTTTTACTTCTTTCCCTTGTGTGCTTGTTCTGGCTAGGACTTCCAGTACTGTGTTGAGCAGCAGAGGTAAAACTGGGCATCCTTCTCATGTTCCAGTTTTCAAGGGAATGCTCCCAGCTTTTCCTCAATCAGTATGATGCTGGCAATGGGCTTGTCATAATGTCTCTTATTATTTTGAGATATGTTCTTTCAGTGCCTAGTTTGTTGAGTGTTTTTATCATAAAAAGATGTTGAATTTTATCGAAGGCCTTTTCTGAATCTATTGAGACAATCATGTGGTTTTTGTTTTTAGTTCTGTTTATGTGATAAATCACATCTATTGATTTGTACATATTGAACCAGCCTTACATCCCAGGAAGAAAGTCTACTTGATTGTGGTGGATTAACTTTTTGATGTCCTGCTGGATTCAGTCTGCTAGTACTTTGTTGAGGATTTTTGCATCTTTGCTCATCAGGCCTATGAGCCTAAAGTTTTGTTTCTTTGTGTGTTTCTACCAGGTTTTGGTATCAGAATGATGCTGGCCTCATAGAATGAGTTAGGGAGGAATCCCTCCTCCTCGATTTTTAGAGTACTTTCAGTAGGATTGGCACCAGCCCTTCTTTATATGTCTGGGAGAATTCAGCTGTGTATCTGGTTGGTAAGTTTTTGACCACTGATTAAATTTAGGTACTTGTTATTGGTCTGTTTAGGGTTTTAATTTATTTATGGTTCAATCTTGAGAGGCTGTATGTTTCCAGATATATATATCTTCTATGTTTTTTAGTTTATATGTATAGAGGTACTCATAATAGTCTGTGAGGGTTTTTTTAGTATTTCTGTGGGGTCAACAGTGATGTCCCCCTTGTAATTTCTGAATGTGTTTATTTGGACCTTCTCTCTCTTTTTCTTTATTAGTCTAGCTAGCAGTCTATCAATTTTATTCTTTCAAGAAACAAAACTTCTGGGTTTGCTGATCTTTTTCATGGTTTTTTGCATCTCAATTTCATTCTGTTCAGCTCTGATTTGAATTATATCTTATCTCCTGCTAGCTCTGGGGTTGCTTTGCTCTTATTTTTTTCTAGTTTTTCTAAGTGTCATGTTACTTTGAGGTCCTTCTAACGTTTTGATGTGGGTGTTTAGCCCTATAAACTTTCCTCTTAATGCTGCTGTAATTGTGTCCCAGAGATTCTGATATGTTAATATCCTTGTTTCCATTAGTTTCAAAAAATTTCTTGATTTCTGCCTTAATTTCATTATTTACATAAAAGTCATTCAGGAGCAGATTGTTTAATGTCCATGCAATTATATAGTTTTGAGAGACTGTCTTGTATTGATTTCGATTTTTATTGTACTGTGGCCCAAAAGTGTGTTTGGTATGATTTTGATAGATTTTGTTAAGAAAAGGTTTATGGCTGAGCTTGTGGTTGATTTTAGAGAATGTACCATGTGCACATGAGAATAGTGTGGGTTGTTGGGTGGAGTGTTCTGTAGATGTCTATTTTGTCAAGTGTTGAGGAGTTTAGGTCCCAAACATCTTGCGGGTTTTCTGCCTTGATGATCTGACTAACACTGTCAGTAGGGTGTTGAAGTCTCCCATTATTATTATGTGATGAAGTCTCTTTGGAGGTCTCTGAGAACTTGTTTTACGAATCTAGGTGTTCCTGTATTGGATGCATATATATATGTAGGACAGTTAAGTCTTGTTGAACTGAACCCTTTATCATTATGTAATACCCTTCCTTGTTCTTTTTGATCATAGTTGGTTTAAAATCTGATTTGTCTAAATTAAGAAGAGCAACTCCTGCTCTTTTTTGG